TTTTGAGATGGACTAATCTGAAAGTAAGGCAACAGAGTGGTAATCTGTAGGGTGATGGGGTGACAAGCTGTTTTGGACAATTTTCAGTCAATATCCAAATAGACCCATTTATTTCGTTTGTATTTTCCTAAGTTAATCTATATTGATTTATATTTAGGAGGGAGCTGTAAGAAATGAATATTTTAAAAATAATGTTCATTAACTATCCCTGAAGTAGATAAAAACATAAATATCAATAGTTTTGTATTTCACATTTAAATTCTTACTACAATGCCTGTTTTGCATCTTTACATGCTTAACTATCCTCGTTTCAACTGCTTCTGCAATCCTAGTAATTGATGTTCATTTTGGGATTAATTCTGTTAAACTAACTCCATAGATTAAAAAAAATTAAATGGTGATGCCATTAATTTCAAACATTAAGTAGTATAGCCACAGAGGAAAACAACAGTTTGTTGAAAGATCCTGCATCTCTGTTGCAATCTTTGGACAATACAATTCAGAAAATGCATTCAGCTTTCTCAGATGAATTGTAGTAGTACTTCACATAAATCTTACCTTTTATATTTTGAAGTGATATGTAGCAGTTGTAGAAAGATCTGCTACTCTCTCTTCTGGAACTATGGAAAGCCTTGAGGATCCTGAGATCTGCCTAGCTGCCTCTTTTGCACAGACATATATATACACTGTTCAGCTCTAGTAAGCATTACCAGAGTGCATCATTGCTGACAGTTTCCTTATCCAACTTTAAAAAAAAAGTCATCGTATTTGCTATTCATTTCATTTGATGATTTTACAAGCAATTTCACACATTCATTCTGCTTACTTTATGACATCAATGCTAACATGGATTTGCAAAAAGAGTAAGGTAGCAATGTTCAAATAAGTAAATATCAAACAGAAGGGCATTAGGATGGTAAACAGTTGGCTAGAGGTGCTTAGGATTAAGGCAGAAGTTTCTCCAAATTCTGAATTGTCACATTAGAATTAATCAAAACACTTAGTTTTAAGCAAAATCCTGGGCCTGTTGACATTTGTAGCATCAACGGAAGCTATCAATTTCAAATCTAAATTTACAGATTTAATATCCTATTAATAATAATCAACATTACTCCCCCAAAGTGCTTCATTAATTTTTAGGTAGACATATGCCTATATTATGAACATAAAGAAGCACTTTTATTTTGAAGCACTACAGCAATGGCTACCCACTACGCAAAGCCTAGCCCAGGTCAAATTTAACAATAAAAACGACTTGATTATCCTTACATGCATTATGCCAACTCTACTGAATGATATTTCATACTCACTAGAGATCTGTATGCCAGACTTCCATTTAAATTGGGTTTCAAACCATGGTCTACAGGTTTATACAAGATAACCTTTTTGCTCACATCTCTGATCCCTACAAGGAAATAATTATAATAAAAAATATAGGTGTGAGTTTCATACTTGTATATGCTCTGTAGAACTATTGCCAAGGTCCTAAATATTCACTAATAGATGAGGGGAAAACTCATATCTGTGATGGGGCAGCACTGACACAGACTGCGTTGAGCCATCTGGTGACAACAGTAGGAGAAACTGACAAATCTTGTCAGTGTCCCTGGCAGCTGAAAAAAAAGCCCACCAGTAAGGAATACGGGTGTTTTATCCTGTTGGTGAAGCAACAAGCAAGATATCCTCTGTCAAGGAATTCCTACAGAGCTTCCCTTATGGATTTTCTGACATACAGTAATTCTTTTTAAAATGAAAAGTGCACCAAAACCAAAATATTATTATCATATATATAGGGTACTATGCATCAAGCAGAGATATTAAATATTAAGGACTTCACTTTCAGTTTCAGTTCCGATCAGAAGGAAGAAATGTCTGGATTTACAGCTGACATCTCACTGGACATAAATAACAGCCTGTATTCCAGTGTAGAATTACCATCAGTTAATTTTTGCACAAAAATCCACAACCTCTCTGGGCAGCCTGTTCCAGCACCTCACCACTCTCTCTGTAAAGAACTTAAAGACCTAGTCTGGTTTGAAATGAAAAGAAAGCCCCAGAATTACCATCTCCTAGGCAGTGTAATATTGAAGACATAAAGCCCACAGAGCCAAAATTAACCCGGAAACTAACTTAAGCTCAAAAAATCTAGCTGTCTTCCTGAGAAGCCAGTTTCACTGTGACACTTCGTCTTCATATCTCAACATTATTTTTACTTGCAATTTAACACTGCAATGTCATGTGGTAATTCCAGAACTAAATATTAGAAGGCACTCTGTCCCATGAATTTCATTAACTTTACATCTCCTGCAGGCAGGCATACTCCCTGGCTCTGCAGTACGCTGATGTAACAGCAGATGGTGATAAAAGGGTCGTTTAGACCTTTATTTCGCACCATGATGAAACACTTGTTGAAATAGACTGTCACAGATAATATAATTGCATGTTGAGTTCAACTGCTTAGGTTTCTAAACAGAGAATACAGAATGTGAAACAATACTACCTTCTTCAGGATTCAGGCTCTTTTTATTTGGGTTTGTATACTTTCTTGTCTCAGATGTTTCTTGTTTACAGTAGGATGATTTCAGGAAAAAATATATGAGACAGCAGCCCAGTGCACCTCACTGAGCAGGTTGTTACATGGGCTATCTCATTTAGCAGGTCATCTCGCATCTAAAAGATGACTGCCTGATTACGTTTTTCAAGTGATACACATACAATAAAGTACAGGAAAGAAATTAACTACCATCAAGAACCATGCACCCGTCAGTTACCATAACTGAATCTAGAGTAATACATATTTATAGAGCTCAGCAAACAAGTTCACTACACTAAACAGAAATAGAAAGATGTCACGCATGTGTGAAGGGCACATTTGTACACATCCTGAACAAAGTTTTTTCCTTTTACATCATAGATGTAAAAGTTAGATGTCACCTCTTGGCTCAAGTCAAGGGCTCACTCTCCTCCGTATTATAGTTCACACTTGCAACAGTATTTCAGATGAATCAGACTACAAGATAGAACCTGAAAATGACCTGCCTTCAAGAAAGTTACATCTTAATGTTTTTAAAGTATAATTTGGAAATACTAAAAACTCTTTAGTTTGGTTCACTAAATTTGGAGATGATCAAAGTTTCCTAGAGCATCACCTCAGCACCAGGTAATTGCTGCTGTTAGAGACTGTGTATTGTACTCACTGGACCAGGAATCTAGGATGAAATTACAGAAGAAAAATAAGAAAAAAATTCTAATGAGATGTATGTTGACCTATAGATCTGGCACTGAAAAGCCCAGGTGGCATGTCCTTTTATAGAATAGGACTGCACACTTTTTCAAAAATGTTTTGCAAAAAAAAAAAAAAATATTCAAGATTTTACTGAACATTTTACTGAATGAGAAAGTTGTTGACTTTTTAAAGTAAAAAAAATACTGCTTTTTCCATGTGTTTTGCTTTTAGCACTTTTATATACCTAAAGTATAGGAGAGAGGAGGCTGAATCTTGGGATCTGACTACACGCCCGGTACTTTTTCTTTCTTACATTACACAGGAAGCATTCTCTTCCTAATTTTCTCAATCATGACTACAGAGGCTGAAATGTGTAGCCCTTTTTATTTTCCTATCCTTGCTACATGATAATGAGGCAAAAAGAGGCCTGTATTCTCCTTCTGGGAACTGATGCAATACATACATGTAGAAACTGACATACGTAAAGCAACTGGAGCATAAATGTTGCTCACATGCCTGTACATGCACAAAATGCATGCATATATTTGTGTGTAGCTCTATGGCTATACCCTGGAGTGTAGAAGCTGCTTTCTGAAAAGGAAGATTAGTTTAGGATCTCCATGTTCACAGGAAAGAGTTATTGCAACTATGCAAATATCCCACACTATCTACTGACAACAAATTGGAACTGCTCCATTTGAAATCAATGGAGCTTCATCAGTTTGCGCAAGCAGAAGAGCCAGTCAAGTATGTGCTAGTTACTTTACATTGTGAGAAGACAATATTGGTAATTGAAAGTAATACCAAATGCTCTCTTAGCAAATACTATGAATTATTCAGATTAAATATAGACCGTTCATAAGACTCTATAAAATAAACCAAACAGCTGTGTCTTGTAATCAGAACTGACTGGCAAACTAGAAAAAATTGAATGCATTCTGATTTTCACTTGTTAGCTAAGTAAAAAGAGTATAACACTAACCATGTTCTGGAGACTGGCTGAGGTTACACTTGGTCTTCCAATGCTGCTTTATTTTCAGACTTCTTTGCAGATGTAGTAATCTCATGTGAAGGAAAGAATGTAGTTCCATGTTTAAGAACGAAGAAACATACGTTCATTGATAGATTCTGCATAATATTGCTCATTGATTCATACGTGAAGCAGCAGTAAGGGGGAAGATGATGAAAATGGATGTCAGAGAATGATTAGTAGTGGAACCAGTGGATTTGCTATAGTTTATGTACAGTCCATCTCCTATAACAAAGCAGCTATTGCTTTTCAGCTGTGTATTTTGTAAAAGTTATGCAGGAATTTTAGGGAAAACAGACTTGCAAACAACTCTATCTGTGTCAATTTCTTCATTCACAGCAAATATCAGTACCTCAACTTTGGTGTTTAGTATATGTCATTCACATGACAGACTTGAAGACTAAGTTTCACTGTTGGAGGTGACATCTCAAGTGTGAGATTCTTACTCAAAGGGGAAAAGAAAATGCAGATTACTCAACATTTTCTGAAAACTGGTCTTCTAAAATGGTCTAAGGTGAGAAGTAAATCTTTAAGGACTCTCACCAATTTGGAAAAGCTACCATTTTTTAATTTTAAAGTAAGTTGTTCTGCAGTTGGCTTTTACATACGATACTGTATGTTTGCAATGTAGACACATAATTGTTTTTCATATGTAAGACCAACTCTCAAATATATTTTTCTTAGCTTCAGCTTGATTCCACAAGACAAGCCCTTTCACCTTGAACTATATTGAAATTCTGTTATAGAACTGTAGTTAAATATTGTAGGCTCAACTAAGGAGAAGGAATGGGGCAAATAATTGTCCTAGAAAGTGTCTTTGATGATGATTTCACATGGATTGTGATTGGCTTGGAAAGCAAAGCAGAAAGGAAAAGGACTTTTTCTTGAGAAAAGGAGAATTGGGGTATGGATCTTAGGAATATATATAAACATCTGAAAGGGAGGTGTAAAGAAGATGATGCCAGGCTCTTTTCAGCTGTGATCAGTGCGAGGATGAGAGGCAATGTGCACAAATTGAAAACAGGTGTTCTGTCTGGCACAACAGCTTTACTGTGCAGGTGACTGAGCACTGGCAAAGTTGCTCAAAGAAATTGTGGAGTCTCTCCGTCCTTAGAGATGTTCAAAAGGTATCTGGACGTGGTCCTGAACAACATGTTCTAGGTGGCTGTGCTTGAGCCACTGAATCAGTCTTGGTGGGACAAGAAGACTCTTCCAACTTCAATCATCATATGATTCTGCAGTGGCTGGTTAGAAGTGCTCTGGATCGTTTCTAATGAACGATTGCATTGTTACCTGCTATTAGTATAGGCAAGCTACTTTAATATGTTATTTATGCTTGAAATTTTTTGACGTTCACAGCATTCTAGAACATTTTCCCCAGGTCATCAAAACACATGGTTGCCCAGTCTAAAAGCTTTCAAGTTCAAGAGCACTCTATAAAGTAAATAAAATAACAATATGAAAAACAGTAAAGCAAAAGTGACAGCAGCATGGTGCACTTTAAAAAAGAAATAAAGTTTTCATGGTTTATCCCCACAAATGCTTCCCATAAACCCAGGTAAATGGTGGACAGTTTAGAAGATGTGTACCCTTTCCCCTCACAAAGTAAAACAGACATACGGGCAAATAAAGGATGAAAAAGCTAGTACATCCCTTGGGAAAAAAAAGGCACCTTCTGTCTCACATATGTCACTTATCTCAAGTAACTCCAGAAGCTTTTGACTACAGACCTATGGTCAAAGTGTAAACAGTGCATTGTATTACATTATTACTTATAGTATCCACAAGGGGTTGGTTTATCTGTCAAATTTCTAAGGCGTGTAGGATTTTCAAAAAATATAAATAAAGTATAAAGCTGCAGAATCAGAAAACTTAATGATTAATATGAACTTGATACCTTGCAGTCTGAAACTTGATCTGAGTTCCTACTGACTTATTCAGGTATTTAAAACCTTAAAACATCTGTTGCAAGACCCTGATTTTATTCTCTTTCATAAAAAAAAAATTGCAGTAGTTATTGTGAGGTTGTATCAATACAGAAAAAATGATAGTAAAATCTCAGTAATTTCAGCTGAATTGTATTCCTTATTTGTAGAATAATCACATTGCTGACAGTATTTGTGTTTACAGCAAATGCACATAGAACCATATAATCAACGTCTAATTAGCCCTATTTTATGTTATATTTGCTTAACATTAACTTTCTTAGAGCTGTAATTTTTTCCTTTAACCATTATAGCAGTTGCATTTTAATTACATTACTAACAAGACGCTCATTAACATCATGTAATTGGCAACAAAACCTGAACTAATTGAGTATTTTCTGAAGAGTTCCTATCAAAGTGTAATTTAACCATTACAAACAGCTTGGTAACTACATTTACATAAAGATGTCTAAGAAATGTTCTCATGTGCAGAAAATCAGATTTGATATTGCCATTAACAAAATGAAGGAAGTCATTACATAGCAGATCACTTCTACATTTTAATGATTTTGGCTAAACCCTATGTTTTTGTCAAGGGTCAAATTAAATGCCACAACTCTGTTCGTGCTTGTTCCACAAGCAACAACTAGTCTTTTGGAGTTGGAAAGCAGCTTGATTTTTTGTTTTGTTTTGTTTTGTTTTTGCTGGGAATTCTACTCCACAATTTTCTCAGGTTATTTTGAACTTACTTGCTAATAGCAAAGCTGAGATACTGCGTTAGACAGACAACAGTTCTTATGCAGTTGGCTAATTCAGAATTTTTTAAACATGTGACCATCTAAAATAGATCTCCTGCCAATTTTCTTGCTCATATTGTTACATTACAACTGGACTCATTTAATTACCAATTAAAAGAATATATGTGATCCAGTTATTATTTATCTAGACTTTTTACAGGATGCTCTAAAATAGTTTAAGTGGAAACTAAACAAAAAAGCCTGCATATTCCTTTGATTCCTTCCCCACAAATCTCAAATGAATGACATTAAAATTAATGTAAACGTTGAAGTGATGAGTAAAAACAGGTTGAAATGTCTAACATATTCTCAAATCAGACAGAAAAAAACCCCACTGAGATAAAATAGATATTGTGAATGTCTTGCTTCCATATTTAAACCTGAATACTGGTTTTTGCATAACAAGGACTTTAAAAAAAAGCTGAATATAATTTGAATAGAGTGTTCAATAACTATCCATACTACAGCTTCAAATATTATGTTCCTGTCTGGATTCTTTCCAAGAAACTGGAATTATACATAAATTTTAAGAAACTAGTTCTTGTTAGGATGTTAATTAGTTACTTGCACTTCTTTGTCCCTGCCCATTTTACAGTTATAGTTAACAAATGTAATTATATTCGTTTAGCAGTATGCCTTTGCAATGGACCATGTATCTTTGGAATGCAGAATGTAGTTTAAGCAAGACGGCAATAAATGCACATGCCGTGTTATATTCTGATTTTATTTTTTGCTATCAAACAGGTGTTAAATGTGCCAAAACATGTATCAACATAACACCTGCTAATATACAATCTCAAAAATGGATGCAAATATCAAATTATAAACTTCAAAGATCCTGATATTAATTTACCTGAACATGATACAACCTGGGCACTGCTATCGTGGGATTCTCTCAGAGATATACCAGATGGCTTAGCATTCTCTGAGTAGTCTACCTATTCTGACAAAGAAAAACATTGTTTGAGGAAGTGGGTCATATGTGTGTAGAGATGTTTGCTGGAAAGTCCAGGAATTCCATGATTCTGGTCAGTGTACCACTGAAAAGAAAGAAAAAGAAAGTCATAAACACGCATGCTCTCTTCAATTCTGTATTAATTAAAAAATACCAGAATTTTTTGTGTTGCCATATAGAAGAATATACATGTCTCAAATAAATAACTTCTTACATGCACTGATAGGATAGGATAGAAGGGAATGGATTTGAATGAAATTGGGGTGATTTAGGAAGGTTAGATGTTAGGAAGAAATTCTTTACTTGGTGAGGTGAGGTATTGGAACTATTTGACTAGAGGAGCAGTGGTTGCCCCATCCCTGAACATGTTGAAGGCCAGGTTGGATGGGGCCCTAGGCATCTTGATTTAGTGGATCGCAACCCTGCCCATGGCAGGGATTGGAACTGGGTAGGCTTTAAGATCCCTTTCAACCCAACTAATTCAAAGAGCCTATGAAGAGCAGAATTGTTCTGTCTTCTCATTTAAGGAGTAAGAGGCACCTTTGGAATGTAAAATCTGATTCCTTTATGCTGGTGGCTTCAATAGCTTTTTGTTTCCTCTGTATTTCTCCTCCACTGTATTCATAGGCAGCAATCATATTGTTTTCTAAATTTTATATTACTAGGCTAAAAATATTCTGCTTTCATTAAGTCAGAGATGTTCCCCAGATTATCCTAACACTACTGAAACTCTACTAGAGCTGAACAGTAATGACTGAAACTGCAGACAGTATTCCATGTACTTTTCCAGATACTTGACAAAGGGCCCAGGTTTGCTAAATAACAGTGAAAACAGGAAATGTGGAATTCACTTGCAGAAATACCAAGTACAGGGGGACCCATGTCTGATCCATGTTCAAGGTGTTCATTGACCTGGGAAAGTGATGAAGCAGAAGGCCAATATGTTTGATAAAAGACAGATACTTTTGTCACTAGTCTGGAGAAAGCACATGCAGAAGAACAGATTAACACCTAATTCAGTGTTACTTTTCCTCTGTTCATTTCTCATATATATCCTCTAACCTCTCATCTATGTGTTTCTCTGCTTGCCTGCATCATCTTCCCCAGGTAAATTTTGTAGACAACTTATTTGTTTTTTCATGTCCTTGACATACTACTTGGATACCTCATTCCCTTTTTCCCTTGATTTGCCTTCTGCCTGTAACAAGCATGTCAGTTCAAGACAGAATCCATCAGAATCACTGACAGTTTTGGTCCCAGAAGCCAGTTCTTTCATCTTCCTTGCTTTTATTAGCTATCATCAAATTTTAGAAATGAGGTTGGACTCTCATTCTTCTCCCTGGCTCATTTTAAAAGCTTCTACATTATACTAGATAATTGAGAAGTTCTGTTAAAATACAGAAAGAGGTTTGAGGGGAAGAGAAAACAAATCCTTTGAAGAATAAATGATTTGTAAACAATAAAAAATGCAGTAAAATTGCCAGATCTTGCTGAACTGGATTCTTAAAAACATCAACAAATAACATCAACATGTCAGATAAGCTTATTGAAAAAATTGTAAACCACTATTCAAAATTGAAAAATAGTCTGTTATTTACCATTGCCTGAAAATCCACCTGTGCATTAACCAGAGCTTTTGCAATTTGTGCTGAGTTCTGAAAATGTACGTTATCTGAAAAAGGAAAAAAAAAAAAAAAGATTGGCTGTTGAAATGTGTAAATACCACAAAGCATAAAATTCTAGTGCATTAAGTTGTGTCCACTGGTTATCAAACAATACAGTTGACATAACTAAGAACGAGCAAGCATCTAATAATATGTTGCATAGAAATCTATCAAAGATCTAAGTACTGATCCTAATCAAAGGCACAGAAAGATGCTTAATGTTTTTCAAACAAAGTGATTCTGGTTCTGTATTTGTACTACCATTTGCAAACCTCACCATCTGCTGTTCCATGAATGAGAAGATACTCAACGTTTTGGAAATTCTTTGCTCTTGCCATTACAGTTGAGTTCTGTTGAGATGAAAAGTGAATAGTTCAGCAGCTTCAATTTAAAACACTAAGTCATGGAGCTGAAAGGCTTAAATTACCCAGTGAAACAGCAATCAAGCAGTTGGACTGGCATAATAAAGAAAGCAGTAACTTCATCGCAATCTGAGATTAATAGAAACTAAATACATTTATAGGCACTTCAAAAAAAGCACAGTACCCACCATGTGTCATTTTCTGAACACTGTAATTCCTGGCTACATAGAGCAGCTCTATGAAGGCAGTTTGGTATTGAGCACTACTGCTATTTGGATTAGGACAGAGAATAGACATTGATAATATAGAAACATCTATCCACATCTCCCCTGAGCAACCTGTGCCAGAGTCTCACCTCCGAGTAATGAATTTCTTCCTAATATCCAACCTAAGTATCCCCTTTTTTAGTTTAAAGTCATTCTCTCTTTTCCTATCACTATGAGACCACATAAAAAGTCAGTTTCCCCTTCCTGCTTGTAAGCTCCTTTCAAAGTCCTAGAAGGTCACCCCAGAAGTTTTTTCTTCTCCAGTTGGAACAAGCCCAGCTGCCTTAGCCCTTCTTCATAAGAGAGGTGATCCAGCCTTCTGATCATAGTACAAAATCCTTAATAGAATGCTTTCTCTAGCTTCTCTAGGTTTATTTCAGGCTTGTCAGTATTGAGAGCTGGAATGTGTGCTGCTAGAGGAAGCTATAGATTTCCTATCAATGTGAAGAAAAGCAAAAATGCAATCTGTTCCTGCAGAGGAATGCGTTCTGACTTTTTAGTCTGAAGACATTATTATCAGACAACAAAACTGGCATAACATAGAGAATATTACTGACCAAAACCTAGTAAACACCAACATTTTAACCTCTATCACGTGTTCTTTCCTAAGTTAATGATTTGCAGTGTCAAAACAGACAGATTTGTCCAGTGAGAAAATAGGAATCCTACAATTTATCATACTTAAGATTGATCAATATAAAAACTGTGAGTAACTACAGAGATATGAATTTCAGAACAGCAGCTTTAGCTGCTACAGGGGTGCCATTATGCGAGCATTATATTTTCATTATTCTGCTTGTCTATGGAAATGTGAATCATGTTTAAGGCAAATGAAAAAGAAAGAATTCTCACCTTATAGTGCTCAAGATTATCGGACTCTACAGGAAGACCCATAAATCGTTCTGTGTAGATAGATGCTGTGATATTAAAGAAGAAAAAAGCAATAGATAAAGAATGCAGATTGTGCCTCCAGTGACGCATAGAAAATTGAACGATTATGTTAACTATGTCTGTTCTGCTTGATTTCCTTATAACACAACAAATCTAAACATATTAAAAAATATGAAGGATAGTTAATACATCTCCTCCTAACAGTCCTTGCACAAATAGTGGTTTGATACTCATCTGCAGAAACAAGATTTTGTGGATAAATACAATTAACTGATGCTACTTTATGCTACTGGTTTGAACTCCTGAAGTCAGTTGAGTGAGTCACATTGTTGAATAATTTCAGTGTGGTGGAAAGATAGTACAGACTACTGTCAGGAAAAAAAAACCCAGAGAAGAATTTCAGCCTGGGATGCACATGAGTATTTACACTTACCATGGAAGAAAAGTTCTTTTTTCTTTTTCCTACTGGTCAGTATATTTATGGGGGAACATACAAATACTTGTGGGGAAACAGGAAAAGATAAAGACTTGCATTGAAAAAACATTATAATTATTTTTCAGTCTCTGTCCAGTTCCTTTGTCTAACTGCAATGAAGTTTGTTAATGGATTTGAAAATAAAAAAAAGAACGAATAACTGAACAGTATGTAACACCAAGAAACCATTAGGAAAAGCTTCCTTTGAGCTGCCTGTATGTTTGTAATTTAACTGAAAGCAGTTATGAAAATCTGTGTGAAACTGATGTAACAGCTGTCACTACAAGAACATTATTTATGACTATCATTGAAAGAGTTACTGGCAAATACTGAGTTGTCAAGCTGCAGTACTATGAGAATTTTATTTATTTTATGCAGACAAGGCTTTTTGATGATGAAAAGCTGGTATCTCTTTCACATAATAGAAGTGCTGGCCACTATAATTATTAAGAAATTGAGGTTAGAAAGAACCTCTGGATCCTCCTGTACATGCAGGGTCTTATAGAGCTGGTTATTTGCAACTGTATTAGCTATACCTAGATGGCTTCTGATTATCTTCAAGGTGGGAGACTCCACAAACACCCTGTGCAACCTGTGTCAGCGTTTTACCCATACAGTAGATATGTGTTTCCAGATGAACCTCTTGTGTTTGACTTTGTGCCCACTGTCTCTTGCCTCGGCGTCACTGGAAAGAGTCTGTCTCTATCCTCTTTGCATCCTCCCTTCACATATTTATACACATTGATAACATTCCAAGTCTCCTTGTGCTGTCCTAAACCAAGAAGTAAGTCTCCCATAGATATTTTCTAATAAACTAAGTGTAGAAAAACCTAAGTAGCTCATCTTTTATCAAAATCCTTTATCATTCAATGAAAACAGAAAATGTGCAATATCTGTTGTCAACACAGTGTCAAACAACCATATTGGGCTTGAGTTTTCAATAAAATAAACTCTTTTTGAATGGCTGGCATTTCTACAGCATTTTGAGCCAAATTCTCCTCTCTCTTCTACCAGTATAGCTACAAGTCCACTGAGGTCAGCAAGAATAGTGTTACAGTGACTAAGTGGAAGATTCAGCTTGTCAATTACTGAAGAAAAAAAGAGAGAGATTGAGCAGTCATATATTTAATGTTTTAAATATACATTGTCCCTAAATGCAATTTGCCTTATAATTGTTCAGCTGCTATATTAACTGACAGAAAATGGAGGTGAGCAGGAAGTTTTTAGAAAAAAATTATGCTACAAACTAATCTACGCATCTATACTACAAACTAATCTACGCATCTAAAAGAAAGCAGTACTAAATTTATAAGCCAGTACATCCTCTGACATTACAACTCTTCTTGGAGTCTCAGATATGCAGCATCCTGTAGTTTTGCCCCTAACAGTTCACCAACATTAACGTGTTCTGTTTGCCAAAATTAATGACTCATGACTTTGCTCTGCTTCCTTTCTTCCCTTCTTTGGGAGTACCTCTGCCTGCCTAGATTTTCAAATGCGCTTTTAGAAAGACTCCTTAATAATCCCTTGAAAACTCAACTAAAGTGAGACTTTTGCAAAAATAGTGCTTAATGCCTGCATTCTAGAAATAATTTTGTGATCATGAGTGAAGATGTCTTCAAAAAACATTTATGCCAGTGAAAACATGAAGACTATGCTTCCTGTGTCATACAAATGTTTTCCCCTTTGTTTGCAAAACACCATAAATACAAGGAATGTCTGTTCTAGCAGTAAGGGAAGCAATCCTTTCCATTTAACCAAAATTTTTTCTCATAACCAAGACTTCTTAGCAAAAGACCATATGCTAAGTAAATGTGTTCAAAGTGCTACATTTTCCTCACTGAAAACATGCATGGCATGATTCTTTTTTACACTAAGGTTCCTTTACACCATGCCAAAAGCTAGCAGGTCTGCAAGTATGAGTATGCATCTGCTTTATTCGCACAGTACGGCCCTCAGATTATACTCCCAGAGATTCTTCAAAACAGTTTGGAGTCTTAGTCAGTAAACGCTAAGAAAAATATGGCTTATAACACAACAGCAGGGGTGTGGCTGAGAAAAATCTAAATAAAAATCAAAAATAGGAATTCAGACATAAATGTGTTCCTCTCTTTTTCTCTACTATTTGGAAATAGCCTTGCAATCATCACTGATAGTCATTCCTGACAGAGTTCATTTTCAGATGAACTTGGAGTGTACTGTGACTACAATACAGGTACAAAAACAGTTCAGCTGTTTCTGAACTCAGTGATACAATTTTAACAGGATTTTTTTCAGGAAGATCACTCCAGAGTATGGTGGTTTACTGAGAGGGCTTTACACCCTAACACTTACAGATGTGCATTTGGAATTGTGACAAAATCAGTCTCAAACTGTCAATTGCAGTCTGTTATTTTCAGTAAGGAAAATGTTAAACTTAAGGTCTGAAGAGTTTAGTGTTTAGGTAATTGCACTGCCTTTAGGTTTCATATTGCCATTCTCTTGCAATGAATTCATTTAGAAAGTCATTAAATGCCGCATCTCTTTCCAAGTCAGCTTTTATGACAAGTTTCCTTACCATAATATTCCCAGCTGGAAACAGGAGCCACAGCTATTCCACATTTAAATACTCCACTGCCAGATCCAAGTGCCAGAGAAGTTACATATCCACCATAGGACTGGGAAGAAATCAGAGATAGTTTAAAACTACTGTGAAGCACCATTTTGTTCTCCAGATCAAACTCGTATATTAATTTCAAACTAAGTATTTTGCTTTAAGTACACAGAGGATTTACATTTTGATTTTGAATGGATCTGATATAAATCTTCTGGAAAAGACAAACAGTAAAAAAATAAAATACAAGGTCTTTCTAGACGATAATCAGAAAAAAATGAACATATATAAAGAGAAAAGTATTAGAAAGCGTTAATGAGTGGCTATCATAACAGTTCATTTTGTAAACTTGCCTGTTGCTGCTGGTTAATCAATATTGATTTACCTGGACAGTGAGAAGAGGTAGATAATGTGTCTGGCTTCCAATCCCTTTTGTCATTCCTTACAGTACTGTCCCTAATCCACAATACCCTTAGGCATTGTTTATCATTGCTCTCCTGCAATTCTCTGTTACGCTGCAGACACTAAGCAGTATAGGAATCAGGGTTCCAGTAATGTTTGCGCATTCTTTAGCTAGATATAAATGATGAACAGTTGAGCCTAAAAAACTTAAAAATTTCTATAAGGGGGCTGTGTGGCTGCCCCTATAGTTATCTTAAGCCAACTCTTTTCTAGAGAGGAATAAGGAAGAACTATATGCAATTACATTACAGGATCATTTACAGATAAATGAATATAAAAAGATAAACCACTTACCCAGCCCCATATTGCTATTCGTTTCTCATCAATAAAACCCATTTCTATGAATTTCCTGTGGAAAAAAAAAGATAGAAATAAATGTATTATTGCAAAACAAGAATGTTAATACTATACTGAATTAGCAAAAAATATTTTTTCAAACATCATGCCAATTTCAGCAAATTGACAATCAACATAGCGTATCTGATTTCTACAAAGCATTGACTAACAGACATTTCAGAGGAAAGGAAAATTTTTTCTTCAATGAATAAAAATAGCAAAAATAAATAGTTTATTTGCATAATATTTTTTTGCTCCAGAGGATAAAGTGAGGACTCCACACAACTATCATCTTGTAAAAAAAAAAAAAAAAAAAAAAAAAAAAAAAGTTGTTTTCAATACATAATGTCTACCTGGATATAATGCCCTCACTCTCCAAATTAAGCATCATACATTAAGGAAAATGTTGGGTCAAGACAGAAAGAGATACAATTGGGTTCAGATACATCCCAGGAGATGCATCAGCAGCTGTTAGCCTTATTTTACTAGGGCAAGCACAAATGACAGGCAATACCTAAAATATCCAATGCAGTCTGGGTGGAACCAAATTAGGTGAGCCAAAAAGTGATTCAGCTTTGTTACATTGCTGTCTTAATCCATGGGGTTCCTCCTATAGTAAAAGCCCCTCCAAGATCTTCTCACTAGAGTATATGATTGATTTTCTCTAAAAATCTTGCATCTTAAACCATGTGTTAGATCAGGAAGATGGAATGCAATGCATTTAACTGAATAAAAATTTAACCTAGGTGCTGACAGAAAGTTGGGAAGTGTGAAATCTGAGGTCATTTTTTCACAGCTTGTCTCAGCAAATTCTGCAACTGCAGAATCAGATTCCCTCTGTCTCTGGCATTTTATGTCCAAGTGGCAATTTGGACTAATTTCTCTCTCTTTAAACATGTTGTTGCTGCTAAAAGATTCAAGAAATACAATAAAATTATGTATTACATTGAAAAACTTAGCATAATAAACAGAAATTCTGTTTCACTTATCACTAAAAACAATAATTATGTGTTTAGATCATTGAGGTGGAAAAGAAATTATCACAAAGCAGGAACAGACATCCTCCTCACATACATTCATGCAGGCAGTGTTCTTAAGCAAGTAGAAAAGGCAGTGGGATCCTGGACTTTTATATCCAATTTCTAACTACTGTTTCTACTGGGCCCATTAACTAGGGAAATATTATTAAATACCTGGAATTTTATCCATGCTCTGATAGGACAAATTCAAGATCAAAACAAAGAATAAATTTCTTATTTTTGTACTAACATTCTTACTCTCCTATTCTTGTAAGGTTCAAACTAAACAATTCTTTAAATGTTCAACAGTGCTACTGCATCTGTTAACAGACACACTCGCTTTACAAAATCTCATCTTTCTCTCCCCTGCAAAATCTCTGTTCAAGGACTTGTTTCCCTTTAGGAACCTCTTAAGTATTTCTGTGCAGGGGTGTAAATTGTGGGGAACAGCTACTGGAGGAGCTCAGATACTTTCTGATTTTTATAAGTATTTTAAGATGGCTTGGAAAAGAAGTTACGAAAAAGCCAGAGTCAGGATTCAGTTTTTTTATGTTTGACTTTTAGCTAAAAACTATGGTTCACCACTGGCTAAAATCACGGGATCTTTAGCTAATTTCTATGATGGTTGAGGTAGATTTCCCCTACAGGGAAGACTTCAGAGTAGAGGAAAATACATTAGCTTACCTCTCACCACTGATGCTCGTACTTCCTTAGGCTTCTGATGTTGCCCTTACAAAATGAAAGTGCTGAGATCCAAATACATATTTGGTAGTGGATGTAGTACACCACACAAAACCAAATTGACACCAAATACCTCACTAGTATTTTATTTCTACAAGTTTTACATTTATTTCCTGGAGACTTCAGCTTTCCAGAAGAAAGGTGCAGGAGTACACTTAATCTATCTTTTTTTCCACGCTTTTTGTAGTTGTGTAAGTACAATGATTTTATTGGGAGACATTCTACTTACTTCACTGCTGAGATTTGGTCCTCAACTTCATAGACTCCTAGTCTTCGATAAACTGCATGCAAAATCTTGTCACCTTGATAAGCTGTTCCTCTGCCATCTACTAAAGCAACAATAATTCCCTCTTTGCTTGCAAGATAGGTTATCCAGCTAATGCTAAATGTGTGTTTTACATTCTGACTGCATGGTCCTCCATACCTAGAAGGTAAGACATTTTCAACTCAGATTTACAAATGAATACCAGATACAGGACTATAGATAAGTATGACTTATATTTTCTCTACAAGTATTTGACTGTGGTTTAGAGAGTTCAGTAGACAGAAACAGTACTATTAGCATTTTCATGCATTCATGTAATTTTACTTTCTAAAATTCATTTAAATCCTTAATGTCTTATGCCTAAGGCAAGTTCCATTTGTTTTACCTGAGACGAAGGGGCATGACATCAGGTATCCATCCTAAGGGGAATCTTTGGAAGAGCTATGTTTCAATTTTTAATTACTTCCAAATTCATTGGGTATAGAAATTAGGTGTGACAGCACTTTTTGATTCTTACCCCCTCGTCCCCCCCATGATTTCATAGAGTCACCAAGGTTGGAAAACACCTACAAGATTATCCAGTCAAACTGTCCATCTATCACTAATTTGATCCTCACGCGTATTACACATTAACAAAGAAAAAACAACAGAAGTCTTAAGCTTTTTGGTCATTACTAGACCTCTGAATATCATGTACAGTAGGAACTATTGGCTGAGCACACCCCACATAGCTGAGCAGTATATAGAAACGCTATTTAAAACAGTGATCTAACACAAGTTATCATGTGACCTCTAGGACATAATTCACTTCATCTTCTGCTCTAAATTTCAGCCAAACATATTTAGCTTTGTTGGACCTTTGGATAGTCAAAGGATTAGGGTTTTTTTTTGCCCGCTTGTAAGAAAAGCTCTTATATGTTCCATATCAACAAATCTGAAATCAATACATTCAAATTGCTTCAGGATAAATAGAAGCGGTAACTGAACTAGGAAATCCAAGCAATAAATGGTGTGCCTTTATTCCTTTTCTTTCACTAAGGAACTAACCCTTGCTATGATAAGAAAACCTCATTGATTTCCCTTAAGTTGAATTTCTACACCAGAAATATATTAAACAAACAAACAAAATAAAAAAAAAAAAAAGTTTTTCTTTTGCATTACAAAATACTGCGAACATCTTAGATTTCCCTAAATTATAATGAGTATTTTTATGACAGAACAGTAAAATTGAAAGAAATAAATTCTTACATACACTTGAATAAGCAGTGGGTACTTCTTGGATCTATCAAATTGTGGAGGTATAAGCATTTTGTACCACAAAGCTAGAAGAGACATATCAAAGTTATATCACTAATTGTTACAATGATTTCTCTAAGCACAATCCGGTTCAATGAAATAGTAATGAAATAGTAATAGAAAATGAATCAGCACAAATTACAGAGTGCATAAAAGGTAAACCACAAAATTCATACAGTAATTGTTTATGTTGAACTGTTTAAAAATAATTTTGAAAAAAAAGTGCCCATTTTTGTTATTTAAATTATGTTATGTATAAAGTTATGACTTTAACTAGGTTTCTAGTTTTCCTGGTGTCTAAAAATACACAACTAGGAGTATAACTGTTATTAAGATTTTGAGAAATGAGTTTTGGAAACATTACAATGATTCACTACAACGGAATATTATTTGTAAATTTACTAAGGAAAACAACAGTGTATGCAAGTCAATATAACATATAAACGGCAGTTTTTGTTTCATTTTTTATTACCACCATATTATGATGTTTTTATGTGATATTTAAACACTACAGCAATATTGCTAATTTTTTTTTTAATTGCATCATGAAGAAGAAATGTGTTTTAAATTTTGTTTTATTTATGTATACACTGAGGAACAGACAGGTCACTGTCACAAAAGGCAGAATGATGGTCAGATTTCCAATCTAACAAGCTAACAAGTTTGATCTACAAAAAGATTATACTTATTATAACAAAATGAAGGCATAATAAAAAAGTTAGGAATAAAAAATATAACAAAAATGTATAATTCTTACTTATACCATCCACTTCAAGTTTATTAATTTCTTCTTTTGGCAGTATGATCTCTTGCAAAGCAGACTGCAATTCCTGATTGTCTTCTAATATTCTGAGCTCTAAGGAAAACAATTGTCCAAATTATTAATTAGCTTATTTGTTAATTTCTCTTTCTTAAATATGATACGTTTTGTATTATTTGAACAATAAGAAAATCTGTGACAGTTTAAAAGCAGAATAACGAAATCTGCTTAGTTCAATTTGGGTTTGATCAAATAGCTAAATAAAAGCAAGGCATAGGGTTGCAGTGCACAAATATTCCTTAATTTTTTATAGGATACATACTTTGCAATGCAAATAATTTCACACACTAGCTGTGAATAATAGAGTTCTGGATGTTGGGAGAAAGCTTTTCTCTTGCAGCACCTCCTTTCCTGCTTATCACAGTATTGTCAGTTTAGACTCTGAGACTCTTGGGCAGTATCGTTAAGCCCATGTATATTTGTGAATATCTTGTTTCTGGACTAACACAGAATATTTGGTTACTTATGGGGCTGAATCAAACCCATACTTAACTACCTTATTGTATATCCCCACAAAGACACTAGACACACCATATAGTTGTCCTTATTACTGCATTGCTGCACTCTTAGCAAGCTTCATTGCTTGCTTTTCTTTGTTTTGTTTTGTTTTGTTTTTTTTTCTCCATGGTATTTTATTTTTTACTTTGTTTGAGGCACAATTTACTGTTTTATCGTTTTAAAGTCACTATTAATAATTCAGCTAGTTTCTAGTACAGAGCTATATATTATGAATTCACTGGGTATTATTAGTTTTCTTATGCTTTTTTCCAAGAGTACTGGTGAATTAATATTGTAAGTAATAAAAATCTGTGACTTTCATCTTTACTTTCAAAATGAAAGAGAATATTCTTTTAGACTTCAGAAGATCTCTCCTTTGTGAGTTTGGTTTTTTTAGATGTTTGTTGGTTTTTTTTTAGTGGAAAGCACTTCCGTTTTCTGGAAATGCTGAAAAAAAATAACAGTACTACTATTCTCAGCATGTTTTGAGCTAGATTATGCTCAGAAAATAGCAGAAATATAACACTGGAACACTTTCTTTCAAAGTACTCTGACAATTTTTGCAGACTCAAGTGAATTTTTATGGCTGAAATCTCCTCCTAGTTTTGGATTCACATGCAAACTCAGCTGATCCTCATTCCATCCTTCCTTTCTAATCTGAAAGCTGCCCTTTACTACAAATTTCTACAATTTTTAATTGTAATCATGCTGAAGGGAGCTTCCAGAGTAGCCCATGTCAATTTAACAATATTTTTCTGCTAAAATTCACGGGTGATAAATTTTCAAAATGCTGCCAAGCAAAATCAAAGTGATCTACAATGATTCTTGCACAGCTTGCAATCCAATCCACAACAATTTGTTTTGCACTACAAAAGAGACTATAAAAGCAGAGAACTTAAGTAAGATTAATACACAAAAGGACACAAAAGGTCAAAGAAGAGCCTAAGAGTGAGGAACCATTGGTAAACATCCTTTAAATGAAACTGTTCTCTCCTGCAGAGAGGTTGAGAAATGCATAACTATGGCTAGGAACTTTGCTGCCTTTCATGCAATTCCAATTTTCATTATGGGCTCTTGGTAAACAAGACTGGGGAGGGGAGGGGAGGAAAGTGGAGGGAAAGGGAGGGAACTAGTAGTTGGGGAGGTCAGAATATTTCTTGCTGGAGTTTCAGTTCTGTATAGATAATTACATCTCCTCTGAAACAGTTATTTGAATGGATATTTTTCACAATTCTTCTGCAAAAACTTTCACTCTTCCCTAGTATCTGCTAATGGCTGAAGACCACCCAAATTCTAATTAGTACAGTACAGTATCCCAAAGTATGAACTCTAAGTACTACACTGAAGCCTATTGCATAGGCTTCTGGTAGAACTGCTTCATGAAAAAAAAATCAGAAAATCTTGAGCTATAAAAACATATAGTTTTGAAGTCAGAACAAAGTATTCTACGAAGTTTGACTTAAAATTTGATAGACAAAGAGATGCCTATATTGATTTCATCTATAACATATGAACAGATAAAAGAATGTCATAAATTTCTTACGGTCAGAAATGAAAATAAATACATCACTGTATTCTTGAGTGTTAGGATTTTGCTAATTAATAAAATTAGAAAGACAGTAGATATTTTTATAACACTTATACAATATGAGAGGCTTTTTGGTCACAATCCTAAGTGCTACATTAGAGGATCTGAACAGTGAATATCAATAAGAAATACAATTAATTGTCTAGAAATAGGCAGAGTATTTTCAGTACCTCTATCACTCTCATTCTCAAAAAGAGTAGAAATAGGAATCCCAGGACCTGTCATAATAATGAAAGGAGGTCATTTGTAGTTTTAAGCAGAATTTGGTGATAAAGTACAGATTACATTACTGTTGGTAACTGTCAGGAATTAAAGAGCTGAATACAATCAATACTGTATTATATCTCATCTATTGAACAGAATTCTAGTTTTTACTGCACAAAATACATAAGGTAACGTGTGTAGACATACATAATACACCGGTATTGCTTCACAAACATAACAGAAGTAACTTCGAATCTATTGGCAAACTTTTCCTCCATAGAGATGAAGTGACATCTAGTTAATACCTGAGATGCGATTACATAAGGTGACTGTGCAACTAACATTGTGAATCATTCTTTTGAGAACATGTCACATTATATTTGTGAAGGTGACTGGCTTTCATATGGTGATGACCTTACAGACTGTTTTGTGGAAGAATGATTGAAAGGTATTGTTATTAGCCACATTTGGTCTTCTGCTTAACACAGGTCCTAAAAACTGTTCAGCTAATCACTGAGAGAAGAACAGTAAACATTATATAACGAATGCAAAAGGAAAATCTTGGATAGTTTTTCCCCTGCTTTTTTTAGGCTGTAACTTCACTGTACTTTGATTAAGATGGATGAACTCATTACTCATGCTTCTGTGTTATTAGTGGTTTCAATAATCACACATTTTTATGAATTGAATTTTTATTTATTTTATTTATACTTTCTCTTACTAAAAAAATGTTTTCAAGTAGCAAGTATCCAGCATTTTTTGTAGCTGACAGATTTTGATCATTTCAATTGAGGAACGCATTGTAATGATTTCTCAGAGCTACCTTTGATTATATACATAGGAAATCAATCTTTTTCAAAATCCTGCTCTTGTTACTGCAAGAATAATTTTGATGAGTCAACTTCAAAACTGTTTTGTGCCATAGAATATTTTCAAATATTTGTTTTTAATTCTATCAATTCAAAGCTTTTGAGGAAAAATTTATAAAAGTAAAAATATTTGTATTTTCTGAAAAAAAAAATCCAAGGTTTTTAAACATGGAAAAAATGTAGAAAAAATTTTTGGTTACAGTGAAATTTCTATGATTCCTCAGGACATTGTTTTCACTAACAGTTACTAACTATGGTTTTGATATATCTGACAGAATAATTGGTGTTATGTTTATTCCCAGGCTATACATACCATAACAGATCAAGGCATAATACTTAGAGCGCTCACTGAACCTCGCTGTATAATACTGGCATCTCTCTTTCCGTAAATTGCAAGTAATGCATAGTTTTCTGATAGGCTTACTCCCAATACTAATTCTAGGAGAAAAACAAAATACAACAATTATTAATTTTGCTATGACTAACTTTGTATGTGTCTGCCTCACATGCTGGAACAGCGTACTTGGAAAACAGTTCCTTTTAAAAATAAATGTTTTCCCTTTTTCTTATTTTTTTCCTATCAACATATTTAAACTTTAGATGGTATTTCTTGATTTTCAGATATAAAAAGGCCATGATTTAATTAAAACAGCTTGATAAATTGTACTTCAAACATTTTGAAACAGAATTCTGTAATTGAAAAATCCACACCCATCACCTAGTATCATTAATTCAACATTGATAACACTTACTTGTAAATATTTCTTCTTCCTGGATAGCCTTCAAATTCATTGCTTGAGTAGAAACTGTGAATTAATTTAAATGTTAATAAATAATCCATAAACTGATTATCTGTGAACCAGCATGAAGACAAAAAGATGTCTTGGAAGTTAACTTACACTTTCTCAGATTGCTGCTCATGATGGAAGATTAAACTAAGCTTACATGCACTTCATCTTAGTAAATCTTTGCTCAAACTCTCATTGGGTAATAAATACACCATATAAATAAGAGTTCTGTCTTAATTCTCAAAAGATAATCACCTCAATTGTGTAAGATACATCTAACTGTGTGGTGAACCAAATGAGAGACCATATTTCAAATGCAGTGAAATAAAACTGAAATAATTTCTATTTGTAGATAGGTTAATCAAATACTTAAAATTAAGCAATCCTAGATAAGACTCTTTAAATGGGTGACTGATAATAATCTGAAAGGTTGAGGGCTATTTGCAAAAAATCTACCAAAAATAAACCAAGTCTGCAAACCTGCACAATGCCTTTGCCTATGAATTTGTTGTGAATGCACTCAGTTGGATGCAATATATTTATAGGTAGTTATAACTTGATGAGTTGACAAATGGCTGGTATGTGTCAAATGAATAAGTATTACTTCTATTGACAAAATACTCATAACCTATACTCTTTTGAGTGGTACTTACATTGCATCATTTGTTACTCTAAAAATATAAATTGCCTCCCATTCTCCACTTGTAATTTGGATTGCATTCTCCTGTGTGGCAAAATATATAAGTCATTGAATACAGTAAAATTATTTCATAAATTCAGGGTATATTAAGGTAGAAAACTTTAATTGACTTACCACAGAACCATTGATGTAATGTATGTGCTTATAACCATTTTTGTCACTAAAAATTTTGTAGTATGAACTGCTGTCTGAGGTAAAATATGGTGCAGAAACAAAGAACTGAAACAAAAGAACATGGTAGATGAGAGGAAAGAAAGAATGTCCAAGCTGTTTAACAGGTTATAGTCTAAAAACTAAAAATAACAGGACCTTATTTCAAAAGTTCAGGTGTAACAATTACCTTCAGAGAAATGTTCATCCATGATATGCACTCTTATTTAGTGAATTACAATTTATAATCTGTCATGTAAGTTTTTTTTAAATTGGTAACACTAATACCTAAAGTTGCCCACAAATACAGGATCTTTACTTGCAGAATGGAATAATTTGTATACACCAAATGATCTGCAGTTACATTAGAATATTTAGAGGTGATTTAAAAAAGAAAAAAAAAAAGTTTCTGAATGAAACTAATATTTGTAAACAGTACCAGATTGGAATCCTACGAATCATAGAGTTTATATGATTCAATGAACAAAAATGACACAGAGTGAAATCAGTATCCAGTCTTTCCCATATTACTATACTAATGTTTAAGAACAAATTATTGCAGATAAAACCATTCAGATTTTACTTCCTTTCAACCCATCACCGCCTTACTTAGACTGTCAGCCAGTTACTGCAACTGTTTTATTTCCAAAATTATGAGGACAATGACTTGTAAAAACTTCAAACTGCTCCTGAGTGGATATGAATAATACTAACACAAACTCAATTAGAAACTGTGACCAAAAGTTAAATTATTCCTAAGTCAGCTTCTAATATCTCTGATCTTGGAAATCCCATAAAGGATAAAGCAGGAATTTATGCTTGTGTACAATTTCACTGATTGTATTAAAAACCTGTCATTACAATCTCTACATAAGAGATGAAAAAAGGAAAGGGGCCAACGGGCTACTCCATTTAGATGTGTAATTTTTACTCCAAAAAAAAAAAAAAAAACAAAACACTCTCTTAAAGGGAGGCATGCTGAAAATTGTGGCTCTTAGTTAAGTCAACTGCAGGATCTTTAGGCAGAGCATGTAATTCCCTATATTAAATTCCGTTAACTTTATCTGCCTGAGAGTAACATAAAAATTAACACATTTTTAATCTCAGAAAGCTGGCAACCAACTACTGTGCCTCACAAAACATAAAACATCATAAACCATGTCTGTGTATTACTGTGTAATAGGTTTGAGGCAGTAGCATTGTGTGACTCCAAATAGTGCTTTGTCATTCAAAACATCACCATGAAGATGCAGAAGTTCCCTTTAAATGAAAGCAGAGTACAAGAAAACCTACTCCGCCTGCCCATCCTGTTTGACTCTCCTCTATGTGCTGTTGATTCTGAAAAACAAAATCAAATGTACACTCTTAAAGAAGTTTGTATGCTAAAAAATAATCAGATCATGATTAGATTAAATTAAACTAGATTTAAAAGCTTCACCTAAAAAGTCTACCATCTCCTCTAAAAGAAAATTTTAGAATACTTGCTATGGTTATTTTCTTAGTCTGCAGTGCAATAGCAGAGGCAGCTGCATCTGTAGTCCCACTGAAGTAAGGTAACACGAGTATTTGTATTTGAAACCATTTCACATCCATACAGTGTAAAATAACCTGAGCTAGTATGGTACAGAGAAATCTGAGGCTCTCCACTTTTGTCACTCTGTCTAAGGGGCATTTAAAAGCCTGATTTTCATCACTTCTTAAAATCTCACAAAAGGTACTTACAAGAATTGAAGACTGATGAAAATAACACAGTTAGCAAAAACAGCCCAGATTATAACATTTTGAGATGATGAATATAAATTAATCTAGTTTTAACTCCCCGTAACATTCTTGAATATGATTTTTATAAAGTGTTATGCTGAGTATAAGTGGATCAGTGCCTACTTCTTAGAGGTGCTTATACATGTGTGTGTTTTACTTACAAAGTTACAAAAAACAAACTCAATGTTTTCCTACGATTTTTTTATTGAAGAGTCCTTTTATTAAAGAGTTCTTGCAGAATGGAGCAAGTGATTCAACACTTGCATTCTATAAATGCATTTCTTTAGTTTCCTTGCAAGCTCTGCTTTATATTTTTTTCATTTAATAAAATATTTCTTCACAGAAAAAATTAAGTTCAGCGATTTTGCTTCTAAAGAATATGTTTTATATGTGTTGTTCTCAACAAAATCTTATTAACATTCAGAATTTTACTTTTTCCCTTCCAACCCTACACCCTGCAAACTGGCTCATTCAGGCGAACATTGTAGGTGCTTGCTCCTTAGAATTTTGTTTAGTACTTTGCAAGGGCTCCAATGAGCCATTCATTTAGTAGATGGACTTTTTTCTTATTAAGATAAGAAAAAAGAGAAGTATTATTTTATATCTGCACCATAGATTTATTTGTCTTAGTTCAAATTAAGGTTCACATCCTGATTACATAATACGTAAAGAATATATTTAACTTTCCTCATATGAGTAGTTCCATGGCCTCTGTGGGATTTTTCTGCTATTAAAGCATTTGCAGAATTTAGAGACTTGGCATATTTATAGTAAACCCCAGTTTTACAAACACATATTTACATGCCTAGCTTTAACTCACAGAAATAATTCCACTGAAGTCATAGTTGTTTCTCTGGTTTATTCACAACAAAAAGAACTTGAACACATGAATATTTTTGATGAATCAGCTTTAGGAACATAATGTGGATTATATTTTGTTATTAATTTCAAGCACATAAAGCCTAGTACATTTATTGTACATAAGTCTCAATTTAATCTGAAATCAACAAGAAAACTACTTTTGCTGATGTAAATGCACAGAGATACACTTCCTAACAGCAAATAGAGCTAATGCAGCACTCCCATCTGTTCACACTCCTCCAATTGGCCATTTGTGCAAACTTTAATGTGATAAAAGCATTGTATCACTGTATAAATATAGAATTATAGAAACGTCAGTAGTGATTCCATAAATAAAGTTTCATGGAGAAATGCAATTAAACAAGGATCATGAACACAGTCCCGCAAGATATTAATTGTTTTGGTCTGGTTCCAGCAAAGCAATTAAGCACATGCTAAATTTTAAACACATAGATAGTCCTACTGACACAAATTAAACTGGTTACTTGCTGTAAGTTGTTTGGTGAATTGTGCTAAAATTCTAGATTTCTTTATTTATTTTTTATACTCTTTAATACTATGTTTTAACAATTATTAAAATGTGAATGATTTTGAGGTGAGATATAGATTCAGCATTAATGTATACAGGAGCAATGACTTAAGAAAGACATCAAATACTGCCATAAATATATATTTTGTCCTGATGAACTCTAGTTATTTCTCTGTGGAATCAATAAAAGCTTTGAAAGAACAGGAGCTCAGCTTCCTTTCAAATTTTCAACTATTGTTTTATTATAGAGGAATGAGTATTTTCAACTTGGAAAGGCTATGTCAACAAACCATAAGCCTATAACATACAAGTTATACAGAAGATTATAATCAAGTATGCTATATGATTCCACTTTTGAAAATGAAGAGGCAAGAAGGAACTGAGCAACAATTTTGAAAGCTAGTCAATACACTCTTGTTATTTTTATTGCTTTGATTGTTACTTGAACCTCACTAAAAATATATTTTGGTGATTTTTCTGCTGTTGCCATTAGAATTTTTTCATTCTTCCTTCAAACAGCATTTACAATATTGAAGAGGTTATCTTTATTAGCTGGAAGATGAATGTGATCAAACACTGGAAAATAAAATTACTTTCCTAAAGTCACTGAAATATTAAATATGCTTTTTGAGTAAATCAGAGCAATTTGTGCACAATGAGTAGATGTTAAAATAGGACAATTCAACAGAAAGTAGCACACGCTAATTCCAGCAACGTATATATTTCCAACTTTATTACCTCTGGACAGACCCAAGTATTTGAATTTTCTTTGAAGTCACAAATAGCTAAGACTGAAAAATTCTGGATTCTCTTTAACCACTGCACACCAACTCGATTATCTGTTACCCAAGTAAGCCAAGTAAAATAATGATCACTAAAAAAATAAATGAAAGAGAAAGAATGATTATTAAAGAGCAGGAACACAGAAAAATTGCTACAGGCTATAAACCCCATTTTGCTCTGTGGAAGAAAACAGCAAATCTTCTATTCTATTAGGAATTTTTTTTGTTCTTTGTAACAATATATCATATAAGCACACATAATCAATGTGTACATATATATATATTTATCTTCTGATGCATCTGTGAGATTAATATGGCACTGCACTGTTAACAAAACAATTCAGAGTTTCAAGCATATAAAGCAAGCAGACAAAAAGTTTTTTAAAATACTCTGATGACATATTTTGAGGGCACAATACCTTGATGCGATCACTGCAGGAACTGGAACCTCTTTAGGACCAAATGCTTCAATGTTAATAGTGTCTACAATAAACACTTTAACAGTAGGATTTTTAGCACCAGCCTTCAAAAAAAATGTATGAGGTTATTCAAATGTACATAAAATTCAGATCTAGGAAAATGACAACAGCTTTTGTGGGATAGAAAATAGGATACAAAATATTTATTCAGTTGAGTACCACATTGTAAATGTGATCTTATAAAACCCTACAGAAGTAGTTACTTCATTTTGCTCCATTATATAAATAAAGAAGAAAACCTTTTGAACAGTCCAATTCTGTGCCTTTCTGTACTAAAACGTAATGCTTGATGTGAACCAGAGTTGTATTTGCAGAGTGGATCTCTGCAGTACACCCTATATTTTGCAACAAAAGTTGTCTGACAAATGAGACCTTGTTAAAACACATTAACATGATCACTTGTAGTCATACAAAGATGATGAGTCATAGAGTTTGTACATGGTGAAAAAGGCAAACCAAGAGGTTCTTGCCTTAAGTTTGGCACTAAAAAACTGGTAGAATCCCAAGCCCTTGAGAACAAAGCACACTATGAAGCCTGCAAATAAACTGAATCTGTCATACCTTCTATTTCACAAAAACAATTAAAAAAATGTCTCCTAGTAGACATACCGTATTGGAAAATAACAACTCCACAGTTAATACATCACAGAAAGTAAACTGAATTGAAAAAAAGGCTTGACCATGCAAACATGCTCTTTCCTATATACTTTTACTTACATGAGGAATTCTGTTTATTTCACTAACACTATTTAATATGTACAGTTTTGAGTGTGCCTATATCTTTTTATAATTTGGCTTACGTTTGCTTTCATTCATTAATTTAGGCCACAATGTATTTAAGCACTGTAATACAAACATTTTTTAAGCACAACTAATTTTATAGTTATCGTAACATATTTCTCAACAGAAAGTAAGTCAAAGAATGATAAACATACCTTGGGATATGGGATAATTATTTTTCTTGGGTACTGTTCCTCACCAAAATATGAATATTCAATTACTGGTATGTCAGAATCATTAAATTGTACATATGCTAAGTATTTTCCACTTGGAGACCACCACAATGCATATTTTGTCGCTAGCATTTCCTCTGAGAAAAAAGAAATTGTTTGTAATAGTTTCTGAGTGCATTTAATCTATTTTTTAATCTATTTTATCATTTTACTCTTACCAGCCTAGACATGCAAAAAGAGTTATACTAGATAGATAACAAGATGTACATCAAACCTATTGCTATACATCTCATATGTGAAAGGTCTTGAGAACTCCCAAAACATGTACAAACTGAATTTAACTCACTTGGATTATTCAAGTGCACGAGTTTATTATTTTATGCATTGAAGTGCCAAATAATCAACCAACCTTTAAATTTTCCCTAAAGCTTAATTCTCAACCATTACCTACATAGTAGAATGAGGATAACAATTTGTAAAGTTCTGACATAGTTTCGGTAATTAAATACTCAGGATTTTGCTTACACAGAATGAATGCAGTCATTGGCAGGTAATGTATATCTAGCCATAGAGATAGATGCTAAGATAGATAGATTATTCTTAATGATAGTATTACCTTATTTTTTTTTTTAAAAAAGCTGCAGCATACATTTCCAAGTTCTGCTGTTTTGGCAGATTCCACCAATATACATTTTCTTAAAAGCTTTGAAGAATCCATCTTACCCCTTCTCCAGCTTATTTTTCCCCCAGATTATAAATTTCATTGCCAAAACATACATCTGCAAAGTCCCACTGTATATAAATTTCCACCTCTCTCCTTCTCTATAGCTCTGATTCTTCTCCTGTCCAAAACAAGGTCTAATTCTATTTCTCTGCCAATGTCTCACACTACCCTCTGGATGTAAACAATGCCTGTGACTCCGTAACTCTTCTCTGGTAAGCTTCTCTAATTCTCCCTTTCTTAAAGCATTGAGCAAATCATGCTTCTCCTGCCTATAAAGCCCTTCACAGCTTGCTTGTACCCTAGCACTCCTCTCTCACTGATTGTGAAAAGATTAACTCTGCCTTCTAATCCATTTGTGATGCCAATTTCCATCTCTTGCTTTCTATCCATCCTTCACTAGACGTGGCAGGGAGTGTGACCACTGAGGATAAGGAAAAGGCTTAGGTTCTCAAAGCCTTATTTACATCTATCTTTAAAATTTGGACTAGTTATTCTTGGGGTACCCTGTGCACTGACCTGGAAGTCTTGGATGGGGAGAAGAATAAACCCCCTGTCCTTCAGGTGGAAACTGTTAGAGACTTAATACTTCACCTGGACTGCTATGAGTCCGTGGGGCTGGATAGCATCTACCCAAGGGTGCTGAGGGAGCTGATAGAAATGATAGCCAAGCCGCTTTCCATCGTCTATCAGAGTTCCTAGGCAACAAGTTAGGTCCCAGAGGACTGAAAGCTTGCCAAGATGACTCCCAACTACATGACAAATCGCGAAGAGGATCCAGGGAACTATAGGCCTGTCAGCCTGACCTTGGTCCCAGGAAAGGTTACTGTGAGACATGGTTTAGTGGGAAATATTTGTGACAGGTTAACAGTTGGACTGGATGATCTTAGAAGTATTTTCCAACCTTGGTGATTCTATGATCCTATGGTTCCATACTTTCAGTAACATTCTTCACTATTTTATCCAATTTGCCTTGGATTTGCCTTGGAAGCACATGAGCAGTGCTCAAATGTACAAAGATGGCACGGTTAACAACAACACATGATATAGAAAGGGACTAGCTATATTATGTGAAAGAAAAAATATTCTCGTTTGAATTTGCCACCTTCACATTTGAATGCCCCCTGGCCCCTTACTAAAAGACATTAAAAAGTACGTAGTGATTAGTATACATCACTTAAAACAGTTTCAATAAATGTGACTCCTTTCTCATTCTCTCTCCCCAGAATAAGAAGTACTTACTGGTTCCAAGAAATCCTTATGTGGAATAAATAAAGTAATTCTTAGGGCTCTAAAACCATTTAATCAATGATTTAGAATGGATTGTGAGAATTTAGTAATGTAGATTTCACATATTGTTGCCCTTCAAGATTTACTTACCTTCATAGACCCAATCAGGTATCCCATTAAATATTTCATTTTCTTTTCCATCACTAGTTAGCTGAATTGGTGCCTCTCTTGGACTTTGTTTCAAATAGATATTATTTTGGTAAACATATGCCTAAAGATAAGAAATTTTTTATGAGTACATGCATCAAAAAGAGGGGTTGTCAGATTTTTTGCACTCAATGAATATAAAACAAGATTTTTTTTTTTTTTTAATAACTGTATTAAAACCTTTGCAAATACTGCAAGAACAAGTACTTCTGTAAATAAATTTTATTTTATAGGACAAATTCTACATTCAACTATGACTCTCCAATGAAATATAGGACTCTCCTATATAAAAAATATATATATTTTTTTTTTTTGAATTGTTATTTCTTGTGAGTTTTCTGAAATTAGTATGATGCTTAAAGTATATTTTCTTGCATCAATATTCCAAGAATGAAATTTGTAAACTTTCTACTATAGTCAACAGGTCCATAAGAATTAGTAAGAAATAAAATAATTTGAACTGTTAAATAATAATAATAATAATAATAATAATAATAACAACAACAACAACAACAACAATAGAGATTTTTTAATAAAATTTGAGACCACATTTTAAATATGAGATCTTTAAATCTCCATATTAAATTCATATGTTATATGGTGTCAAAGACAAATTAATTGTTTTTCAGGCCCTGAAAACTGTATTTAATCCTTTACACAGTTACTTTGTTGATGCTTAATACAAAACTGACTAGCTAAGTAAAATACATACTGCCATTAAGAATGCAGATTCTTACATTAAAAAGAGTGAAGTTAAAATTTGACAAATGAAAAACTGTTTGATTTTTTTAAATCATTCTTGCTCATAAGTTAGTTTGATACAAATAGGCTTGTCAAAATATGGCCTAATGAAACAATAACCAAAGGCAAATAAAAATCTTCTAGCCTTCTTATATTTACTGACCAATTTGTGTCCAACAGGTGACCAGGATATATACTGAATTTTATGTGGAAGCTGATTTTCTGTTACAAAACCACTAGAAAAGGGAAAGAGGTTGAAATGGCTTTATGTTAACAGTACAAATGCATCATTACACTGTACATTCATATAAAACTCTTGAAGGGCTATATTTTTGTTTCATAAACAAAGCAAAATTAATGCAGGCAGTGAGGCATGCAACAGTGTAATTGTGTGCACAATGTGTAACTGAGTGCTGGTGCAGCTCAAGCCTTTGAAAATATACTCAGCATTCTAAGAAGGCAGTCTTATCCCTTTCTAAAAACTGCACGAGCATTTGCAGGCATTTTCTTAATCTGCTATTTGCATTGTAGTTTCAGCAAGCCTCAACAATCAAGGAGATAAGAACTCAGTGATCACATTGTATTTCCCAGGTTATAACATGCAGAAGCAAGTTGAACAGCAGAGTTTGAGCATCTAGTAAGGATCCACAGAGCCACATGCAGTAACTCTCTACTCACTTAAGCTAGTAGTAATTCTGTCACCTTGAGCCAAGAGTTTTCCAAGAATGTAGCTTAGTGCAGTCCCTGCTCAGAACTAAGAAGCTTTTAGTCATTCTGTGACTTCTGGCATAAAAACATGAGTGGGAAAATAGATGGCCTTTAGTAGAAAGCAAAAGAAGAATGGTCTGGGGAAGATCTTGGGAAAGAGACCAAATGCAATGGCAGGAGCTGAAAGTTTCTGGGGAACCCAAGACTTTACAAGATCACTGAAGGACATGTGAGATTTTTAGGAAAGCTGAAGATTGAATTAATAAAAAAATTGATGAATTAAGAAAAAAGAAAGGGAAGGAGACATCTGGTGTGATACTGAAGTGGACTAAAGCAGCCAAAAAGGGTGGGATAAAACTATGCAATGAAAAAAAAAGAAGGTGAGAATCTTGAGCAGTCGAAGTTTTAGGGTGTGAAGTATAAAGCAATCCACATACTTGGATGAGTAGATGAATGGACTGTAGAATTTTCTCAGAGGCAAGAAATCTTTTGATTTTTCAGAAATAATAGATAACAATAATCAAGTAAACAAGTGACAGTTTCAAGTAAAAGCCAAGCAGCAGATAGTCACATTGCTATAGAATTTTTCAATGAAACGCTTGCAAGTATATTTTTACAAAACATCACCATAGCTCTTCGTAAAAAATACCACGCCTTACCCATATATAAGATCATAAATGTGATATGATGCAGTATAAGAATATCTCCACAGCTGCAAAAATTAAGCAAGAAAAAAAAAATTAAATTGGAAAAAAAGATGATTTAAGTAAAAATCATCAGATGGCTTTCACAGCCTTTCACTTTACTCAAGAAGAGACTGAAAAAAATTCATGCATAGTAACCACACATACTGAATGAAATCAAACATTTCATTAAGCAACATATAAAATAATTACCTTTGAATAGTTGCTCTCCAATGCTATAAAGTATTTGTCTGATGACATCACATAATTTGAAGCATTAACTTGTTTCTGAAAGGTTAAGATGTATATTAGATTCTAGCAAACACTATGAATTGATTTGTCAAGTTTTAATCTGATTACTTTTAAAGAGATACTTAGAGCACAACTGCATTTTACTGCCTTTTTATTAGTTGAAAAGATACATACCATTGTGCTGTTGGTCATAATGGTAGTTACGTAGTTCATATCAACATTGAAAAGAATAATATCATCTTCTGGATTCTGGTGAAGATATTCACTATCTTAAAAAACAAGATAAATGGGCTGTTACCTCACAAAGAAGATAAAATAGAACAGACCTGATTACCAAATTATTCACTACCCTTGTCAGTAAGTAGATTTTGAGCAAGTCTCTTTAAGTATCTACAAACGCACAGAGGAGAAGTTTTCTACTAATGATGCCAAGTTTTAACAGTTGAAGAAGGTTTCTTAATTATGTTCTCAAGATCATATATTGCATGCAGAATCAGCTAGATTAGCTTCATTATAAAATGCCAGATTTTATTCTCAATAGTACATGATCAAGAATACTAGGGACAGATCCATCGTATCCCAGCATCACAATATAAAAGCTATTATGAAAACGTTCAACATTCTTGCTTATAATTTTACCAGAATATTCTCATTTTTATAGATTTTAGATGTAATAGCAGGACCATGTAACTATGTAAATAACTGCTCTTACTCACATTGCAATGATACTATATAATGAAGGTGAGTGGCCTCCAATGAGAACTGAATTTAATCCTACCTGTGCTCAAGACATGAGCCACAGTTTGGTAGGATCTGAAGATGAGAATTTTAGTTTCACATCATAATTCTCATTGCTATAAATAGAGATAAGGAATTGCATGCTGGATGTAGCTTAAGAGAGAGAGAGACTAACAATTTAAAAGCAGTCTGAAACATTGTATAAGGTTTTCATTAGGGACGAAACTAGATCACTCTTGGACATTTAGCAAATGCTTACGTGATTTGAGTAAAAGCATTTGTGGTTATCTCAGGTCCCTTATAAAAAGTTATTCAATTTCAGCTCCCTGCTTCAGAAGAAAAGTAGGCATATGGAATGCTGTAGGCATGACTATCTATGGAATTTATGGCATGACTTTTGTGTGAGTTTTTGACTGTTAAGACGAAAGATAAGCCTAAGTGAGGAAGTTATAAAGAGAGAATGTGAATATCAGGTTTAGGTGGTATGCTGCCTACATACTTCAGACATTCATACAGAATTCTAACAAATGGTGACCTAATTTTTAAATCACATAAGTCATGTCTACATACTTCAAATTGCTAACTGTGAAACTAAAACTGCTGCTAGCAACGTCCTGGAGGGCTTCGGTTCAGTTCTAAAATTGTGGGTTTAAACTAACTTGATAAGACTCCATGTAAATGGGAATTTGGTTGTTTTTTTTTTTTTTTTTTTGCTTCTACTGATAAAATAATAACTGCTTGAGGCAATGCACAGATATGAGTGGTAGTACTGCAAGTACTAGAATGTAATCCAACCTACCTAAAACCTTCTGGTGCTGCTGCAGTTCAGTGATAACAAGAGTAGTATTTTGGACACACATTGACATATACATCAGCAGCAACTAACTTTGTGTCTTTATCTCCTGTGTTAAGGAACTTGATTAGAAACTCATCCTTACTTCCTATGCATTGCTTTGGAACTCAAAATTTTAGCAATGTTTGTATTTCCATATGTAAGAGATAAGAACAGGTTGGCTTCCTGCAGCATTAAGTAATACTGGAAACAAAAACAGGGCCTGCAATACAGGCTACCTCAATTATAATTAATAGCAAGTGAAGAAATGCTGTGACAAGCTCAAAAAAGGGAAATTCCTTAAAACATGACTGACACATTGACAAATTTCTTTACCATGATGTATTGAGTATGACAGTAAAAGAAATACAGCAACAAATGGCTCTGTAAAATGATAGTTTATGCTTAACTCAAATATTTCTGTTGCAACATTGAATACTAGGAATTTCTAGAATCCCTGACAGAAGTGTAAATTTAACCTTGAGTTTTGAGTAGTAAATTGTTGAATTTTATTTTTAGCATTTATTTGGAGTAAAGCTGGAAGAAAAGTATATTTCTTATTATGTGCCAGAAAACACATACTAAAAATGCTTACGTACCTCAGAGAAAAAAAATTACTTACCTGACACCCAGTACGGAAAATATGTTTTATACTGAAAATTTCCATTCAAGTAATCATCCAGTGTAAGAGCTCTAGGACCATCAGCTGTGGTGACAACTTAGAATGAGACAAAAACCTTCTGTTAAAGCAATGCTGTTATGTGAAACTTTTTTAAAAAATCGTTACTTAGTTAAATATTTCCTCTTATCTACACAGGCTGCTCTGAAAGCAATACCTCCTATTTTATTATGTTTCTGTCAGAGGTGAATGTTGGTGGGATGGCAGAAGAGACTGAACCTTCACACCAACATTCAATTACATGTTGTTGCAGTGGAACAGATGCAGTGGAACAGGGGCAGTCTGACACAGTAGTGCCTGACATGGAAGCGTGAATGAAGCAGAGGGGTGGAACTGAATTCCTCCATGCAGAAAAAATGGCATCCACTGACATATATTGACACTCACTGAACATTTATGGAGACCCCACAGTGGATGTGAGCACAGTGAGGTGGTAGATGATGCATTTCATCAGTGGTAACACCAACATGGTTCATTTCTGCTGGTGCAGATTTTTAGTGTTTTAGCTGAGAATTTGCTCTATCACATAGTGCTATTGTGCTCTTTTTTATCTGCTATAGTTTCCACAGAAACAAATAGGAGGCATTACTTTCTGACCAACTTACTGTTTTGGTTTAACCCAGTAGGTGGTTCAGCACCACAGAATCATTTGCTCACTCCCCCCTGTCAGTGAGATGAGGGAGAAAATGAAGAAAAAAACAAACAAACAACAATGTAGAACTCATATGTTTAGAGAAAACTATTTACCAGGATAGATAAAAGGAAAATAGTCCTGACTATATATATGTGTGTGTGTATATATATATATATATATGTATATATATATATATATGTATATATATATATATATATATAAGTTGAATGCACAAGTAATTGCTCATCAGCTCATAGCCAATGTCCAGCTAGCCCATCAAACAGCAGAAGAGTGAGATGCACTCCCATCTCCTTCAGAACTCTTTTCACATGATGTCATATGGTATGGGATATCCCCTTGGCATGTTTAAGTCAGCTGTCCTCATTCTGTTCCCTCCCAGCTCCTGGGGACCCTTGCTGAGAATGGCCTTCTCCCTGAACCAAAACATAACATCATACCAGATGCTCTGAAGAAAACAATTCCATCCCAGCTGAAACTAAGACAACTGTGTATATTTAAGTACCGAAGAAGAGTGAGGATAGCATAATCCTGGAACCATGCAAACAGCAGAGAAGAGAGAAAAATCTGTGTTAATGCTCTTCACCATCTGAAGGATTCTCCTTTAGAGGTACGAAATTAGGAACTAGTTGGTTTAATTAATTTCACCCAGAAATTTATTTGTTGAGATATATTTACTTGTATACCTTGGGACTACAAGGAAAGTCTCTTACTTACAAAGGGCAAATCAAAGTTTTCTTAAAGCATAGGTTTCTTGGACTTGTTTGAACTTATGAGCAGAGAAAACTATTTTAATAAAGATCCATATGTATTCAGCAGAAATTCAAACAGCAGGTCCATACAAATCTTTACTGCCAAATTTTTTTTAAAAAAGCCTCATCAGTTCATGCTAGAAGATGGATATGAGAACACCAAAAGGATGTATGAAATAAACAGACAAGGCTACAAAGGTACAAACAATGTTGAAAAGTAATGAACAACTGAGCCGAAGCTTCAACTTCTTAATCAGTGCTTTAAGGGCACACTGACAATGATTCCCTAGAGAAAACAGGTGCTCTGACATTTGATTTCCAGCTAAATCAGACAGCTACATTAAAAATGCACAAAAATTCAGCTGGTTTTGTGGCTTTTCTTTGACTGTTTATTTTAAAGATGAAAGCACTTTAAACTAGAGCAAGGGTTCCAAACAAAAAGTAAGGGCAATCAGCTCTGAAGAGGGAAATGCTGAATTGCTATCTTGCTAAATGCACAGAAATGGAGAAGAAGAAAAAAAAAAAAAAAAAAAAAAAGTATTATAAAAATGTAATAAACAAAACAACTATAAAAAGAAATAGCATAAAGTTCTCTAGGCAAAGATTATTCAAAATGTTTAATCTTCAAGACACAGGAAAAAAAAGGCATTTTTCAAATTTGTCAGCTTTCAAGGCTTGATAATTTATCTTCTTTGAAGTCAAGGCAGATTTTGTCATGGTTATCAGAGGTAGAGGAGATGTCACAAGGAGCCTCCTAGATTTCTGCCACTTCCCCTGTTTGCTCCTTCAGAGTTCTCACAACACAGCCAGATAATCAAAATGACTCACTGCCCTCAGGTTTCATATGCTCCATCACTTCCTCATTACAACCTCCCTCTCAGCTAACATCACACTCACTTCCTGGGAAATGTTTCTTCATATTCTCTCCTTTGGTACTTTCTAATGATAATCCCTTCTTTTTTCAAATATGTGACTATTATTTACTGTAGAATACACATGTCAGGTTGACTTCTAACACTAGCCTTGTCTGCACTAATGCAGAAGAAAACTGTCATGAGAAATAAAACCAAATGCCAATCCATGAGTAAAAACCTATCAGTATAAACTCTGAGGTAGCAATGTGTCCAGAAAATGTCCCCAAAAGTTCAATAAGAAGTTAATTCCTCCTGTTAGTTCCATGATAGTATGTTACTGATCCTTGATACATTAATGACAAGCACAGAAGATAGCAAAACCTTTAAAAGTGCACAGAAAATTTCAGAGGATACATATCTACTTATATTTATACCAAGTGATGACTACTTATTATCAGCTTCCAGTTTAAATTCTCTAAATGAATGTCTATCAGCTAAAGAAATCCATGATAAAAATCTATTTCCATAGCTGTGTGTAAAGGAGGCTTAAATTTACAATCCTGTTTGATAGCTTCATCTGGTAAAATCTCCTTATTCCTTCTCTCAGCTTAATAGGAATTTTTAGAAAAGCAACATCACAAATATCTCATCAGTGCTCTAATTTTTACAGCTCTAATTTAAACTTTACTCTGCACACCATCTCACCCTTGCTTACTTAATATTCCGTGATAATTTATTATGACTGCTAATTATTTTCAAAATAAGTCCACTCCTATCTGAATTCCTACCCATGGACTGCAAAAAAAACAAAAAACCAAAAAAAAAAAATGAATGAGAACACAGCTTCATTTGCTTAACTTTAGTTTTGAATGCTTGTTTCTAAGCAACTAAAGATACATTTCACTGCTTTAATTGGGAGCAGCAGCTTTAATTGTTCGCTGTAATTGTTGCCGATTCTTTCTGTAACTTAAGCCTAGTTCAGTAATAGTACTTGAAATCTCTGTTCACAGAATAGATCCCCACAAGAAAAGTACATTACACATTTGCAGTACTATATGAACAGCAATTTGGATCATAGTCAGTAGGCTCCACAAGTTTTTGTTGTGCTTCTTTTCTCTGTGAAATCACAAAGATGAAAAAAGATAACCAGAGACAACAATGAAGCCAACCACAGAAATGGCAGGTTTTAAAAATGACCAAATTTTGACTTTGCTTTCTTCCCTTTATTGCCTCACCATCTTATTCTAATGCTTGGTGGTCCATTTTCACTCAACTACAGGGTGCCACTCTGTATTTCTCTTGCATATTACAAAAAAATAAATAAATTCAGAAAATGCAGAATAATATTGTGCACTGAACTGGTTATTTTGCTTCACAGTGTAACTTTGTTTTTTAATATTCCATGGTCATAATTAAATGCATTTCAGCATATCCTATGTACACATATAAAACTGGCATTAAAAGCCTGTAAACACCTATTAATCATCACTGGTTCTAGGAAGATACCTTCTATAGTGTCCAGTTTGTTCTATGGGAAAGTTTAACAAAGCACAAACAGGAGAACTTTTAGCTATATTAAAAATAGAACAACATTAAGCACTCTTAAATTTAGCTTGCATTATCTGGAATACTCCCTTTAATGGCTGGATGTGGGTAGCCCAACAGAACTCTTGTTTCAGACTTGAAAACCCTCTTGGCTTGTTCCATAACATGTGAATTCATATACATTATGTTATTCTGCCAGATTAAATCACGTGTAGATAAAAATCAGAAAGTATTGTGGTTTCTGTGTTTAATAATTACCTGTACGTATTTTAACTTACGTATCTACAATGAATATTTATATGTATCTTATTTAGCAGCCATTGCCACACAGTAATTAGATTACTTGACAAAACGAAAGTGGTTACTGTTTTCAGACAGCCAGCTTGCAGATAGTACTGTGCACCCTGCAACATCAAAGACGCAAGGGCTTAGTCTCAGGCCTCGGTCAAGAGTGTAATGGGAACAGGAACACTGATGAGTCAGGGTTCTGGATGTTCATTAAAAATAACACAAGAAAAAAATAATGCTTCTTGTGGCTGTGTTCCTGCTTTTCAGGCATAAAGAGGTATTTTATTCCTTGCTAATGCTGCTGAAGAACAGGATCAGTTGCACCAGTCTACATGTGAAAAGAACCTTTCTGAACAGCTTTGAGTTGGGTTATCATATCAAGGTAAGTCACAAAGCATATTCCTAACTTGGAGAAATGTCAAAAAAATGTCACTAGTTTTGCAGTCATCTGCAATTACAGTATTAACATTGCCCATATTGCTCTTCTTAGACTCTCAGAAATTGAATTATCACTACAGCTAAGTACTTCCCCCATACTATCCTCTACAAGACCAAAATATAAAAAATAAAAAAAAAATCCAGTATAACCTTTGAGAGATTTTCACATTTTGATACACTTCCACGTGTAAAACGAAACCAGATACCATATTTTTGAAAGTTTCATTAACGTGAAATAACTAGAAATTTAGCAAGTCAGAGTTAAATTATATCTTTCAATCTTCTCAATATTATAGATGACATTTGTCTTCACTGAATTATTATGCAGAGATTTAGTCTGTTTGTATCTATATAATATTTAATAATTAATCTTTCCAGATCACCACATCCTTTCGGTTAAGCAGTAGCCAAGGTGGAATGTACAAACAAAATTCCATCTCTATAGTTACTTCCTGTCTCTCTTTCACTTGCAAAGTTTGTAACCACAAAATAAATTCATAGTTCCTCCAGACTATTAGGAATCCAGAAATATTTAGGTATTTAAACAGACGACTGCAGTATTTGCAGTTCCAACAGAGAATAGGAAGCCACAGTCAGACGTTTGACATAACTGTATTCTACAGTTGTCTGAAATCCTCCTTCAAGAGTATTCTGTAAAGAAGACAAATTCTATTTCATCCTCCTGGATCTAAATGTGATGTTCAATATGATTAGTTATTAAGTCACTGTTAAAAGAAACTACAGATGACATTAATTCTCTGTAATGGCTGAAGCAGCTCAGAATGAGACCAGTCAGCTGGTATGTGGTAACTTTAGAAGGGAAAAATACATTCATTTCCTCCTGCAGTACCTTCCAGGATATTTAGCAAATTCTTCAGGCTGCTAATCCAATCCTCATGCTCCACTTTATTACTCTCCTCACTGCTTTTTAAATTGAAATTTCATCAAAATATTCTGTCCTTTCTTAATGTGTAAACTTGGTAAATCTGGCTCAATACTACATTTATCTAACAATGAAAGCTCACATTTGACAATACTTACTCAGGCACCCCATCATGGACTGTGAAAGTCACCACTAAATCTATAACCCTCAGGTTTGTTAGATAATAAATAGTTACATTAGAATTTATTTTTTACCTTTTTTTTTTTTTTTTTTTTAATATTCTCTAGGGCTCCAAATGGGACAACTAGATAAGAAAGAGGAAAATCTAGTTGCGTATCTAATTATGTTTGAATTCTTTCACTGAATACAAAAGCAAATTTTCACTACAAAAACTAGTTCACATATGTAGACAAATTCAAGATATACTTTTTTCCCTTTCATTTGTTTCCCTTCCTATTTGCTACCAGTTTAAGGCAGTTGCAGGGTTCTCTTTTACATCCCAACAGCAGTGTTTAGTGCAAGACCTTTCTGCAGAGATTCTAGTAATCAGAAGTGTGATGTAAACAAAGCCCAAATGGGGAAGAGCTTAGTGAAGGACTCCATTTTGAGGTGTGATTGGATCCCAAGACACAAAGAAAGGCTCTTGGAAATGTTCAGGATATTCCAGGAAAACAGCTAAGTTTTATTATATCTCTTTTTTCTTTTTTCTTTTTTTTTTTTAATAACAGAAGGAATTCTGCTATCTTGTATCATGTTCCAACTCATGAAAACAATCACTTTCTAGTTACATATTTAGGGTAAAATCTTCTAACTTATTTTAGACTACGAATTTGGTTTCTATGACCTTTTAAGAGATACAGCCCAACATCCCCTGAGTGCTTTTGAAAATCTTGTGGTTAATTTAGAAAGAGGTCAGTGGGATGAAGTTCAACAAGACTAAGTACCAGGTTCTGCACTTAGATCATAACTCCATACAGTACTACAGGCTTGGGGCAGAGTGGCTGGAAAGCTGTGCAGGGGAAAAGGATCTGGAGAGGTTGGTCAGTGCTCAGCTGAAGATGAGCCAGCAGTGTGACCAGCTGGCCAAGAAGGCCTATGGTATCCTGGCTTGTATAAGAAATAATGTAGCCAGAAGGAGTAGGGAGGTGATATTCCCCCTGAATGCAGCTCTAGTGATGACACACCTCGAGTATTGCATTGCATTTTCCCATTACAGTAAGTGCACTGAGGTCCTGGGGTGTGTCCAGAGTGGAAAGGACAGTGAAGCTATGATGAGTCTGGAGCACAAGTCTTATGAGGGGTAGCTAATGGAACTGGGATTATTTAGTCTAGAGGGGAGAACTGATTTGTATCTACAACTCCCCGAAAAGAGGTTGTTGTGAGGCAGGTGCTGGCTGCTTCTCCCAGGTAACTGTGATATGACAAGAGGGAATGGTCTCTAGTTGCGTCAGGGGAGGTTTAGGCTGGATATTAAGAGAAAGTTCTCCAAAAGAGTGGTCAGATACTGGAACAGTCTGCCCAGTGAGGAGGTGGAGTCATCACCCTGGAGGTGTTCAAGAAACATGTAGATGTAGTACTCTGGGATGTGATTTAGAGGACAATATTGGTGGTAGGTAGATGGTTGGACAAGATGATCTTAGGGGCCTTTTCCAACCTTAACATATAATTCTATTCTATAAATCTCCAACTCCTCTCCAGCAGAGGTATTCGTGCTAAATATGTTAAATTGAAATACCAGGTAAGAAAGGGAGATTTGACCTTCCACTAAAGTTGAATGTTAGCTATAAGACAAAAGTAAGGATAAAGCTAAATCTGATTTGCCAACATATGGGCAAAGTGTAATTATAGAAAAAAGAAATTATTGCTGGAATATATATATATGTATATATAATTATTACTGTTTTAAATATTTCAGAGGCATTCAATTCATCCACTGTAGTGAAAGGGATATATAAATACTTATTGGATTTCTCATAGAAAAAAATGCCCATTAAAGCCAGTGCCACTCAGACTCTAAATATCAAACCACACATACTTCAAGCTTTACCAGTGGACTCAGCAAATCGTTCTGTGCATCAGCAGTTACATATTCACAAACATATTCACAAACAATTCACTACATCCTTTCATTAGAGAAATATTTAACTTGCAATTGTCTATAGATCTTTAATAATCATTAAAATACAGGCTCACCAAGCTGAAATAAACTATTAACAGATTGTGAGATTCTCATAGCTCCTAACATATATATAATATGAGATCTGAGAACTACTTCTGCAGTCTTGTCTAAGAATGTTATATTTTATGAATAAAGTTAACTGAGGTGCTTTTCACTTCAAAGGGTTCATTGTTTCAACATCTGCTGGCATTTCGATCATACCTCCAGGACATTTTAGCTGTCAGTACATTTCTGTAAAGTGCATAACAGTACAGGCATGACAATCCTAGAGATGATTTGACAAACTTTTATGAACTTTACAAGCCATAGAAGCTAAAAACATTGTGTTTTCTGCTACATTAGATAAAAACGCCTTACCTTTGGATGGAAGCAGTACAATACACATGAGTAATAAGGAAAGCAAAACACATACAACCACGCCAAATAGTACTTTTAGCCGGGTCTGCAGGACAGAAACAAAAAATTATTACATTTCTAATATTTTCTGAGGTAAACTGTTATGGCTGTCTAATTAAATCCTCTCATTCCTTTTAACTGCTGAAATTCATCCAGAAAAAAAAAAAAAAAAAAAAAAAAGAAAAAAATATCTCCACAGTACATTTGAAAAGACTTCCCTTTTTCTTTAAGGCAAATACTTTCACAACAGAGCCCAGCCTTGTACAACAACCGACAGTTTAAAACAACAGATGCAAATATTATTGAAAGCTGAATTCAGCAGCATACAGACCTTCATTTTTCTGCAGTCTTCCTAAAGAACACAAACTTTTTTCTGAGAGCTGGTCAGCGGATCTAGGAGAGGAGTTGGAAAAAGCAGTGTCTGTTTTCACAGTTAGAGCCCAAACCTCTGGCAGACTTTTTTTTCCCTACATACTTTTGTAAACTGTGCCAAATTTCAAAGGGTTTCCATAAAATTAGAAACAGGCTTTCGGGGAAGTTCTCAAAGCAGAAATGGACATTGGGCAGCTATAGTGGTGGTGATTATATACTTCTCACCAATGCAAGCTGTAACCAACATCTGGGTTTTATGACTCAACAGTTATTTGATATCTACTGTTTTTCTCTGAAAAGCATCTACAGTGTATTTTGGCAGCCCTCACATTCTCAGGACATATTCATGACCTTATTTCTACTTCCTACTGAGAAATTAAATGAAAATTCAGGCACGTCGTTAATGTTTATCTATAACTCTTTCTTGTTTACTTTCTAAAATAATAAATGATAGCATAAACATTCAAACCAAGAAACATACACAATTTGCTTAACATCTTCCACATATGAAGATAATTACTTTTTTTTTTTTCCTCAGAAAACAGTAAACTTCCACATAACTGAGCTCAGACATAACTCTGCTGGCCCACAGCATTTCAGAACAGCGCTCAAGCCGCCGACTGTTCTTGTTTCATTCAGCTCATTGAAATGAGGTCGCCTGCAAACAGAAAACTGCTGGGACCGCAGCGTCAAGTTACACAAGAGAAGCCTCAGAAGAGTGAAGAAACGCTTGAAAAGAGAAGTACGCTTTGCTCCTAAGACTGGTTTTGTCCAGCTAGTCTCAGTCTCGCCCATCAGCGCTGCTGCGAGGAGAAAAACCTCGCGGCACCGCCTCACAGCGGCTGGCTACGGGCGGGGGGGCGGAAATAGCAACGGTCAGGCGGCGGCTGCGGGGGAGTAACGGCCGCAAGCAAGGCACGCTGCCCCCTGGTGGCCACGCGCGCCAGCAGCTGCACATTGGGCCGAGCAGAGGAGCGGCCGCTCGAGGCAGCCTGCAGCCACGCGGCACAGCGCTCCCAGCTAAGCTCTGCTTTCTGCTCTGCTCTGTGCTCCTTCTCAGCACCCTCATGTGACTGGAGGCTCTTAGGCGTGTCTCACAGCTCTAGCAGTCAGCCAGGCTAAGCTCAGCTTGCATCTTGTGGCCACAGCAGCAGCAAGGGGTAATGCCACCTGCCCCAAAAGACTACAAACTAAAATCATTCCCTCTGGCTTCTCTGAAAACTGAAAATACAGGAGATGAAATAATAGTTTCCTGTTATACTGAGGTATCTAGCAAAGCATGAAATAATGGTTTGCAGAGAAAAAAAGCCCAATGTACTATCATCCAAAAGTAGTCAATACCTCAGCCTAACAGAGTGGGCTGGAATTTGAACCACGACCATCATGCTGTCCCTCGTGAGGCAGGGGCTGATCTGGGCCCATCTGGCAGTGTTTTGGCAACAGTCATTGCATTAATCTTGGTGGGCAGTCTGAAAGCAATTCAATTTAGCTGTCTGGAATATGCCCTATTTTCACATAAACTTGTATTTTCTCGGCTCTTGTCACAACGGTGAAATTATGCAAGAAAATGCTTCTGATTAAGATCCACTCTTGTCACTGAAATCCAGGAATAAATTTATAGCTAGGTATCACCTTGTTGACATTAGCCATACAAGTAAAAAGGCTGAGAAGACCAAAATAAATTGTTCTTGATCTATTGTATACGAAGGCCAGAACTGAGCTCAGCAAGGATAGTTTCCTAGCAAGATAATACCAGCTGCTCAAAATTAAAAAAAAAAAAAAAAAAGAAAAAAAAAAAAAAGAGAGAGGATTGTGACAACCAGAACATTGCAAAATTACAGACATAGGTTTTGCTCAGTTAATAGTTTTTATTTCCTCTAAGGAATAATTTAGAGAATGCCTCAAAGGAAATGACTCAAACTCACAAGATCCAAATGACTTTGCTAAGTGACTATATGCTGCATATTGTGGGTTTTTCTAATTTGGAAGTCAAAATGCACATGCTTCATCAAGATTTACAAACACTGGAGCATTAGAAACAAACCAAAATTTACCCGGCAAAGAATGACCCTCACAAGTTTTGTACAGCTACTGCTCCTGAGACCCTTCTCTGCCATGTTTATACCAGTATACACAAAGAATTAAACGTTAATTCTTTCAGTACTACTCTAAAATATTTATATTTTCCAGATGTGGGAACGGACATTTACAGATGTAGGTTGTGCATGACAGCAGACCAAAAGTAGATAGAATAATGTAAAAAACAACTAAAGCTGAAGCCAAACACACAGCTAAACAAATCCCCGGTGACTAAGTTTTTCTTCTTTCCACATTTATGAACAAATAAAAGCTGTAAGTAGAAAATGCAGTCAGGATTTGTCACACTCCCTGGAGGACTTTGAGTCCATAAAGGCAATAAATGCATAAGCAGCTGGAAGATAAAACACGGCAATTTAGCTTGCTTCACACTTCCTGGATGAGCAATAGAGGCACATTTTATAATCCCACTCAGAGACAATGATTTGAAATGGAAATCCTTATTCTACAAGCCAGCAGGATTCACCTGAGGTTTGTTATCCATTATGCTGAAATGAGATTGTATCTTTCAGCTTTGGTGACAATCTGGTTGAATCACGCTAAGAATTGGAAGTGTGACAGTAGCACACAGGTGGACTACAAGAAGACTAGACATGTTGAATTCAATTATAAAAAAATGAAGAAACCAAGTTGCATATGCTCCTTCTTGCTTCATTGAAGTATTTAGAGTTCAGAAGATCTACTTAGTACAGAAGCAACAGATCCAGTGATACAGTTTTACCAGGTTTATAAATTTCCTCAAAATGCTGAATAAACTACAGGTATTTGGAAATTATAGATATATGTTACATTTACACTCTAAACATGTCACAAGCCTTTCCTGATTTAAAAGTTTTCTTCGAAGAACTGTGACAATTCATATAAAAAGAAATGCAAAGATTATCTGGATAATTACTTGCCAAGATAAACTCTTCTGATATTTAATTCTTAGAATATTACATAGCATCTTATTTGTCACATCAGATAATGATCACTTTAACAAAATACATCTTAAGTCCCAATGCTCCATGATCTATCAATCTACAGTATCTTTAAATAGTCAGATTCTCAGATCCGTGACTAAAATCAAACCTACAGAATTAAGTAGATTCAAAAGTCACCATAACTTTCAGTAGTAGTCAAAATACCAATATAAGAAAGAGAGTAACTTGCTTACAGGACAATATATGAAGGAAATGTTGTTTTGGTTTCTTTTTGTTTCACTTATTTTATTTTTTTTTTTTTAAATAAAATCTAACAAGTTAGGCAACACCAAACAAAGAAATTGGAGATTTTATATTTGTTTTGCACTGCAAAATATTTTAAGCAAGGAATAATATTGTGTAAAGACACACACAATAAAAATATACATAGACTACCAACTCCTTATACTCTGTTTCCCACTGGATTTTCCTGCTTCAGTTGTATCATTACAATTGTAGAAGTGCAGTGTCTTGAAAGATCTTAATGTGTATAGCCTCTGAACTTTCAATACATCTGACATGTTTTCCTTTTCTTAGAACAATTTCAACCTATAAGACACAATTTCTGTAGGTTAAGCACAATGAATATACAAAACATCTACAGTAAAAACTTATCAGGATGAATATTGGTTTTGTAATACTATAATATGTTTATAAGTAAGTACTTCTCCACAAATTAGCCTGTCAGTTTGATGATGCTTGAAACATGCCACATTTCTGTTAAAAATGAGACACTTCCCCCCCTCAAAATAAGGTCAAACATGGAAAAAAAAAAATAAAAAATAAAAAAAAATCTGGTCCTGATGCACACTTGAAACAAAATCTGATTTTAAATAATTTACAAAGTATTTATATTCCTATTAAGAATGTAGAACAATACAAATCTAGATGTAAGAAGTTTCTTTTTGCTGAGTTATACTCTTTAGCTTAATTGAAACTTCAAAATTTTACCTTGGGCTATTGAAGTGTTTACATGTCCATTCCAGTAAACATACCACTGGGTTTACAGAGCTGACTGTTGTAACAACAAACAGATCTCTCACTCCAATATCTTATGTAAAAGAGAGAAGAAAAATCTGTCAATAAAATAATTACAGTGACGCATTTTGCTATTTTTACAGTTAGAATACCACTATACATCTCTAGGGTGAAACTGTAGTCTTTTTACTGTCAAAATAATTACAATGAAACAGACTATACAGCATCAAAGTTGGCAAATGCTATTCATTACAGTCATTTATTGGAAAAAAAACCACATTATTGCATAGGCAGTTTAACAATTGTATGAAACTAACACAAAGAAAGTCACTTGGCATAGTGCTTCATGGACATTAAAATAATCCGTTTCAAGTAAATTTAAGGGCTTGGTTTTTTAAAATGTCTTCTAATGAAATTTTACTTCATAAAAATCTATAAGCTTATAGCTGAAGATAAGGTGAAAGTCTAAATCATGAAAACACTGAAGAAACAACGACTCAGAAATAACAACCAAGTAATTTGCTCTTTTTACATGGATTCTTTTTTAAGACACTTTATCTTCACAAAGGTTATAGAAGAAAGTAGAACTGAAAACAATCACCATGGCAAGTCTCAAAAAGTCTGTCTCATGTTCTGTGCTTGAAGACAGGTTACCTAACATGCATTTGAGTGTTGTCAAGCCACACTGGACAGTACTGAGAAGGGAATTTGTTCCATGAATGCACACCACTACAATGCATTTGTTCTTTGTTCTGGAGAATCAGAAAAAATTGAAGCAGAGAGAGCTACCATGTGACTTTGTCCTTCCTTGGGCCTTTTCTCCTCTTCAAGGCAGTTTTTTAAGGAATTCAGGAGCCTTGATAGGGTTTATGTTTCAGTGTCTATGGTGCAGAACTCTACAAGACAAAGGAGCTTCTCAACAGCAGCCAGAGAAGATTTTGAAGTCTTTATTTTCATTCTGAGTCCTTAATCTTCATCACTTGAAGGACAATGAGTTGCATAATCGAAATTAGGAAACCTGATGGGCAGTTCTCCCCATTTCTTGAAAATCTCCTTTGTTGTTTTCTTGTCTTCAAAAGCAACCACAAAATTTCTAATCTTTAGACAAGGCAGGTCAAGACCTCGATAAACCATCATATTTCCCCAGGCCTGTAAGTATAAGGAAACCATGTTTCAGACACACTATCATTAGACACGCAAAGACAAACACAAACAACATAAAAGTATGAAAAGAATTTGTTCCTCACTTGTCCACAATCTTTACATATAATTTCCACATTTGCCTGGTAATCAGCATGCTTGTCTTGCAAAGTCCTGTTTTCTCTTGTATGGTAAAAATGTCTGAAAAGCAGTCAGAAAACATGAGTCAGAATAGAGTGGTCAATAGTGACAGCTATTAATGAAGTCAGACACGGAAAGTAGAAGCAGTAAACCATCTGACTGTTGTGCACAGACAGAACCAAAGAAAACAAAGTCATATTACATGCTTTTAAGTAATGGCGACATATAAATGTACTCCATCCCATCTTTTGTAGCATTTTATAGAACCACAGAATCATAGAATCACCAAGGTTGGAAAAGACCTTTAGGATCATCCAGTCCAACCGTCCATGTATCACCAATACTTCCCACTAAACCATGTCCCTCAGTAGAGTATCTAAATGTTTCCTGAACACCTCCAGAGATGGTTACTCCACCACCTCCCTGCATAGCCCATTCTAGTTCCCAACCACTCTCTCAGAGAAGAGGTATTTCCTTATGTACAACCTGAATCTCCCCTGGCACTTTTTTTTTTTTTTTTTTTTTTTTTAAAATATCAGGGGAGATTCAATGCACACATATACAATTCACTTTTTTTTTTTTTTTTTTTTTCAATATATGAGCACTAATTTCTCAGTAACTCTTCAAAAAGTCTATACAAATTATACCAGTGATATGTCTCAGTGAAAGAACAAATTTGGAAGGCAGTGACTTTGTAGAATAGCTACATGATTAAAAAAGCATGCCTTATTTGTAATGTGTAATGCCCATCATAAAATTTCTATGATAAACTGAAATTGAATTAAAACATTTTCTTGGCTTCTTAATTTCCATTATAAGTGAGAAAAGAAAGTCACTTCTTGCCATCCTGGCACTGTTTAATATAAGTAAATGTTTAACAAACTAAATAGTGTGACATCTCTTGCAATGGAAATATAAAAAACCAAGAACACTAGGAGAGATATGGTAGGTTTGTCACCAGCATGAATATTTTCCTAATGTACAGTTGTCAATGCACAGCTCATGATCAACTTATTGTTTATGAGTCACTGTCACGGCTCAGACTTTTATCTGGGGTCTGTCAGTAGTATTACTGAGATTAAGATTTGGCAATATTGAAAAAATCTGTTTATTTTTCCCGTCTCCCAGGGCCTGAAGAATTACAGGCCCTGCACAACTTCCCTGAAAACAAAATCCTTTTCCGTCTGAAAGAGACAAACTAGTTCATAAACACTTACTGGAAATCTTTTTTCACACTGACATGATGCATATTTTCAATAACTTGTATATCTTCTCCAGAACATATCAGCTTGTGGCAATTCTTGCACAGGAATGTTATTAGTGAAGGGTTTTTCTTATATGTCTTACGCTGATCTCTCTTTGTCTTCATTTGTTTTTCCATTATACTTTGCAACTGGAAGTCCTGAATCTAGAAACGTACCAGTAAGACAATATTCTAGTGGAATGATCATAACAACCTCATAAATCTGAACACTTATTTCCAGAAATTATAGATCCTTACAAGTAAAATGTATTCTGAAAACTTAATTCAAAATGATATATTCAACAAAAAATAAGCTAATAAGATATGTCTTCAAAAGGAAAAAAAGACATCACGTAATAGTAATTCATTTTCTCTTTCAGTTACTTTACTGAATTCATTGACAGCGCTTTTAGTCGATTTTCCCAACTTACTTCTTTCATCAACAGAAGGCGCAGAAACAAAGATTGGCAAAATTATTCATATGTAACAGCTAATATAATTTAATTTTTTCTTCCCTTAATAGTAGAAAGTATTCTTTACAGAAGAATTCCTTTGAAAGCCATCAGCCTTCTTGAATGGAAAAGTACAGAGCTGTAGCAGATACCTTGTTCAAATACTCTTCTGGTGGCATCTGCTGGACACGTTGAATGGCCTTATACATCATATTTTCACGGAAAATATTTACATCTTCACGTTCAACAGCTCCTGAGCCACTTGAGGCCACAAGTGCATAAGTGCTCTCATCAGCTCGAGCTCGACCACGGGCCTACAATTTGCAAAGAAAGCAGTATAAAAAACACAACATTCCCTGCAACATCAAACAACACTTGTTCCTATTTTGGAACAATGGACAGATACAACAGTCTTATTGCAGTCCTTTATGTAATGACTCCACAGAGCATTTTATTTTTTTTTCCACTTAGCCAGATAAAGAATCAGCCAATACCATACACTGTTTCTCTATTATCATTGAAGATACCTGTGAAATAGTATTCAGGAGATTTGTCATTAGCACAACATTTTGCAAAGCAGAAATCGTATTTTGTCACCAAAAAAACAAGCATGCATATAAGTATCTCAAACATATTTACAAATTAAATGAAAACATAGACAAACTGGTATTATGATATGCAGTTATCTCTTTTCAACTACTGGCAAGACAAATGTCTTTATACATTTCATTTATTATATGAATTGGAGAGTTGTAGCCATGTGGATGTATCGTCCAGTGGTCATTAAAGCAATGAATTTGATTGATCACAGGCTGGAAATGCACATAAGCTTAGAAGTCCATCTTCTCCACATTACTCAAAGACAGAAAGTTAGTTTCAACCAGGCCTGCCTCTGGTCACATCCTCTTATCTTTTCTACACCAGGCATAAGACAGCTTACTAGTTGCATAAAGCTTTAAATCAATTTTACACTGTTCCACGTGGAGGCAAATTTTATATTACGTACAAATGTAGGTGTATGATTCACCATTTGTGTATTCCAAGCAAAAAAGCGCTTTTAAAAATAAGTTAGGTATGCAAAAAACTCCTACCTGCACCATAGCAATTTCATTGGTGACCAGACCATAGCGAATAACAATGTTACACTCTTTGATGTCTAGGCCTTCCTCAGCTACAGTAGTAGCAATAAGTAAGTTTATACTTCCACCTCGGAATTTATCAATGACTTCCCTTTGCTCATTCTGTAATAATAAAAAATTCAATAATTCAATAATAATAATAATAAATACATCAATATATTAACATTCAGTATTAGTTTCTGACATTAGTTTATTGTAATGAAGAGGATTAAAGAATTTTAGTTCAATCATTTCAGAGTGTAAACATCAGTGACTTCAAAAACTGTGTTTAAACATCTTTCAAGATCACAAATGAGGAGTTTCTTTTGAATATGATGTGAGTTTGGTGCCATTTGTGACAGAGGAGGGAGAAGAAACAAATCTTTTAAAGGTAACTGAGCTGGGAACGTTGTAGTTGATGATTCCAATTCAGATTTGCTATGAGTTTTGATAATATAGTTCTTTCTTCTATATTTACAAAGTTTCTTAAGTAGTTAATAAGAGGTTCATCTTATTTCATCTTATAGTACAGTCTTCAGTACTTTGAAGTTCCGAAGTACTTAAAATTCCCCATAACTGCATTCTGTTGCTCTCCATAGGGGAAAAAAAAACAAAAACACAGTGATTATGCTCATAATAGATAAAGTATCCAAAACACAAACTTCTGAATTAGCTGAACATTTCAAATAAGCTTGAGCAGAGGAATACAAGCATCCTATGCATCCTGTTTGTATGATAGTCGGTTTCAAAATGTAGAGGCTATTGGATTTATGTAATGTCTAGTGATTAAAGAACAAATTTTCAGAAAACAAGCTCATTTTTCAGTTAATAATTCACTTTTTTTAAATTTAAATCTGAAAGGAGATGAAGTAAATGAACTCTGCAGTAAACATCCTTTATGCTTAGATGCTGGAGTAGCAGTTTTATGGGGTATAAAACACAGAAAAAGTCTTAGCACATTGAGGCACTTAATTTTGAAAATGTTAAATTATCAGAAAGATGTCTGATGTTAACACAATGGTAAGAGATGGATCAACTGTTAAATTTTCATTGTGAATTTTGGCAAATTTTCTTCCAGAGATTGGCAGGGTGAAGAGCAGATATAAATTTGTATAAACTGATTAAATAATTATGTCAGAAAAAGGCATCATTAACACTGTAGTTCACTTCATTTTTCAATTCAGCCACTAAACTGTAAATTGAATTACTTAACTATCATACTCCTTCTACTGATATTTTGTTTACTTTTTTTTCTTCATATGACTCACTACAAATTGTGACCCTACTGACTACACACACCACTAGAAAACTATTGCCTTTTACTCCTACTGTCACAGAATCCAAGCATCAAAAAAAACTTGTTTCTAGTGGAAATAAAATTGAAATATTGTTATTCATCTAACCTACAGCCTCTAACTGTAAGATACTGGCAGATGAGAAAGCAGAACTCTGGGCTCCAAAATGCAGTCCTTTCTACTAGTACTAAAAAAAGAATGCTTTCTCAAAATATGTGCAAGATTTTAAAACCACAGTGCATATTTCTGTACCTGAGTCATAGGTTTAGTTTCACTATTGTGTCCAGCACCAATAAGATAATGAGCTTTGATTCCCACTTCTTCAAATTTAGGGTTATCCATAATCCAGTGGTATAGAGCTAAGGCACTTTGTCGAGTCTTCGTGAAAATAATCCCTCTTGATTCTTCAGTCTTTGTAAACTCTTCCATTAAAGTGTTTCGGAGCTTCATTAGCTTCTCATTGTCATATTCTGGCTTTCTAGCCAACTCTTTCAGCTGTTTCTTTTTTGCTTTAAAAGCAGTAGATATGAATTAAGAAAAAGCAACCAAGTAAAATAAAAGCTCTAGAAAAGTTCAGCAAGAGCAGCTTTCTATATACTTCTCCCAGCATGACAAATTCACATCCAGTTCAAAGAACTGTGGCATGTTCATTTTTCCATATTCATTAAAAAAACACAACGATCAAAATAAATTACCATTCACTTTTAACGTACACCTTGCCTACACCTCGTGTTGAGAATAAGCGAAAGAAAAATTGCTACATACCAAGACTAGTGCAGAGTTAACTGTGCTCTACTAAAGAGTTAAATCACAGCTTACCATATTTGCTAAAGTTTAAAAATAACTGAAAAAGTCTTATTTGGAAAAACAGATTAATATGCAGTCATCAGTGCTGATATTTTCCATTTACATTTAGACATAATTTTTCCCTGAAAACTCACAAAAGCAGGAAACCTTTTTGGAAACCTGCAATGTTATATGCACCAGGATTGTTGCATTCTTTTCTTTATTGAAGCTTTTATAGACATTTCAGTATGTTCAATGAAAGGCTTGGTGAATGATTCTCTCACACAGGTATTATTGCTCATGATCAGGGAGGATTCATCACACTTTCTTTTTTTAATTTAAAAATTTTAATATTTAAAAACTTATGGTCAAATGACCTTATAAACACAACAATAGCACTTAGAGAAGGAAGGCTTGTGTTGACTCTACAACCACTCGCAGGTTATTGTGTGATTAATCCACCTTGTTGTGTGAAATGGTACTCATGCTGCAGTAAAATCCATTCTCTTTTGCACCACTCAGAAGCCAACCTATCTCCTTATCATTGTAAAGGCAGTAAGAGAAAAAAAAAGAGGCTGCAAAGATTACAGCACAAAGGATCACAAAAATCCTCATTCCAAGGTGAATAATTGAAAAAAATGGCAACTACTTTTGGCCTGAAATTTAGCCTTCTGTTTAGTTGTCCCAGTTAGAGCTCTACTTGGAACTTCCAGCCTCCTAGTACGTAGTGAAATGTTGTGAAATGTTGGTAGAGAGGGCTATTAAAAAAAAAAAAAAAAAAAAAAGAAACAAAAAACAAAAAGCCACTGGACCTTATTTTTGTTCTATTTGCTGTTTTGTCCCTTAGGAGTATATAATGGAATATACATTCTATCTACCTGTTAGAACATCCTCAGGGACATTTCACTGGAACAAAGGGAGAACAATTTTTACTTAGAATGTGCATAAAGGAAGTGTCCTTAGGCCAAAACTGAAGAACTTCTACTCCATGTTTGGACATATGGAATCACAGAATGGTTTGGACTGGAAGGGCCCCTAATGACCATCCAGTCCCAACCCACTGCTGTGATCCCACTAGATCAGGCTGCCCAGAGCACCCTCCAACCTGACCTTGAATGTCTGCAGGAATGGTGAATTCACAGTTTCTCTGGGCAATCTGGGCCAGTACTCTCTGAATAAAGAATTTCTTTCTAAAATCTAACCTAACTCTCCCCTCTTTTATTTTAAAACCATTCCCCCTTATCCTATCACTATCAGACTGTGTAAAATCACACTGATGTTTAATGTACTTCGTACTTTATGAATTGAGACATTCACATATCTTCATAATAAATAACAGTGCAATTTTCTATGAAGTAATAATCAATGGGCACATGCAAATCGATTTCTAATATTTAAAATTACCATGTATTTCTAGCTTACCATGAAATAAACCCATTAAAAATTCATCTGTTTCATCCTCTTTTGATACTAGTGGTTCTTCATCATCATCACTCCCTGCTGTCTTCTTCCTTTTTAGCTCCTTGTAAAAGTTATTTAGGTGATTGTATGCATCAACCATTCGAATAGTATCATTGATTTGCAGTGCATCATTATATTTCTTCAAGTGTTCTGCACAGACACGTTCCTTGCGTTTTTCTTCTTTTGCAGCTAAAGGTTAACAAAATATAAAACAACATTTAAAAATTCCAAAAACAGCAGATAAAGCCAAGGTGCTTTCTCTATACACTTACCTTTTCTCTCTTCCCTAATCACCCACTGTTCATACGGCTGTGATCCAAACTCGGATTTTGGATAGAGCTGGCAATATTTTTGAATATCTTGCATGATCTCAATAACTCTTTCTCTAAATGGATCCTACAAAGAAATAGATTACTAAAGTAAGTATTTTCTGGCAAGAATAAACACTGGACCTAGCTATTCTGGCTGATACCAAATTAAAAAAAAAAAACTTAAAACCTAAAATATTAAATTCAGAGCCAAGTAAGGTTGCTGCGTGCATTTACAATCATCAAAAACAATAGTTCAAAACATCATAAAAATTGTGCTGCGAATATTATATTTTTAGCACATGTAATGTCAAGGTCTTTTGATCTTCTGAACTATAGAATCAAATATGTAAAACTTTTGTTTCTGTTTCACTTTACTAATACTTTTCCGTTCAAATGATGGAAACACATTAAAAAACAAAAACAAAAACAAAACATATTCAAATAGTGCTACGGACCACAGTAGATCTACAGCAAAACATTGTTAGCAAGAATCACAGAATCAGTAACGTTGGAAAAAACCCCACAAGATAACCCAATCAAATCATTCACTCATCACCAATAGCTCTCGCTAAAAAAGAAGAATTTTATATCATTCTTTGAAAGGGAAATGTAGTTTCAACAGTAATTTGTTTGATAGAACATACCTTTCTTTTGTCATCTGCAATCACAGTTTTCTTAAATGGATCCTTCACCTGGTTCTTCAGTTGAGAGGCATGCTCTTTAACAGTCATTATTCTGCATGCATCAAGATTGGCACAGATCTGTAAGAAAATAATGTATATTTTTGCTTGGCTTATTTAACATGAAAAATGAGTTAATGCAACATACCTTCTCATTTATATATTGACTTTTTTTTCCAGAATTTTCCGCATTGTTTTCTTATTAGAAAGGCAAACTCTTTGAAGAGAATTTGGGAATGAAAAGCAAGTTGCTTTTACTTTTTAGGCCAGAAGTGATTCTTTCACATACAAAAATGTTTGCAGATGAGGGTGCAAAGCAGGTAATTTGAAAAGGAAAATATGTCACCAATACTTCAGAAGAAAATATGTTACACTACAAAACAAATAAATAAAAAGAATAAATAGAATGAAAGAAACGTCATGTTGTTATTCTAACAATCTTGACATATATGTAGAAAATAATTTGAAATGGTCTTTCTTGGAACTCGGAGAAAATTTCTACACTAACTCCACAACTGAAATACATTTTTCAGTATTTGTTCTCTCCTGAGAAGACATGCACATTTAAAGAAATGCTCTTTTTTTCTTCTTTTTTTTTCTTCCCCCCCCCCCCAACCCCCATGAAGAGTTGTCTGGCAGGCAAATGTTACAGTGTTTGGAACAGTAAGTATCTATTTGAACTTGCAAATTCAGATTATGTTTCTTTACACAGAAAAGCCAGCATCTTATCATTAAGATTTCACAGAATCTTTTTTTCCCCCCTTTTCTCCTGGCCTGAAAGTTTTTGTCTCAATATACCTCATAATTACATGTATTTCAATAGAGCACAACAGTTTCTTGCAGGTCTTACCTATTCAGTTTCACATTTTGTTACTGTGCAATTTACCAGTCAGGAATCTTCATTGAAGTACTGTGCAAAATTCTATTTCTGTATCATTAGTTTAAATCCACTGATTTTCAAGTTAAATAGTTTCTATCAGAATCACAGCTGTTTTAGGCACAGAATCTAATCAGTTATCTCCAATTGTGTGTTTATGCAACTACATACTACTCCTTCTCAACCAGAAACTGTTAACTGTTGAAAATAAATGAATTTGCTTGCTACCTTCATCTCACAGGTACCTTGTTTTAGCTTGTTTTTAGTAAACAAATTCATTTTTCACTTTCCTGCATCCACATACAAGAAGAGCTTAGTTGCTCTGGAAATATAGATTTAAAATACTGTGACCTCTCTAGGACTTAAAATATGCAGTAAATTTTAATCCAGCAATGGAATTTTATTATTATTATTAATTGATTAATTTTATTATTATTATTAATTAAAAAATGTATAGCTGCTTTGTGTATTTCTTGCCTTGAATCTCAAGAGTTTTTTTTTTCAAGGGTGCCAATCCTTTTACTTCTCAATTTATGTAAGCAGCCTTTATCTTTATAGTGATTTCCATTAACTTGTAGTGGGACAATTTGCTGAATGACTTTAAGCTGAATTCCCATGTACATATACACATAAAAAAATTCAGATTATATATTTGGAGCCCGATGATTTGAAAATGAAAGGGCAGTTTACTTTCAGAATATGTTCTTCAGCTTTCGGTTTAGTTTTTGCACCGCCGACTCCAGGTGAGGCTGTAAGTCCCAGAATCTGAGGCTGTGGAATCAAAGGTTTGTTTTCTTTTGCCTGCTTTCTGTTCTTGATCTTATCTTTTAAGTAACGTCGCATGATATTGTTGTAAACACCTTCCTTTTGAGTGTGATGGCACTCATCAATAATAATGAGTGAAAAATCTGGGGGAAAAAAACAAAACAAAATAATTTTCTTTCAAATGTAAAATTGTTTGAATAAGTCTTCTTACAGATAAGGACAACGTTGAACTGATTGTTTATATGAGTACTAATTGCATTTGAAATATTCTAGTAAGAAGTGGATGGACCTGTATATATTTAATGAACTTTGGAATCTTTTCTGCACTCTTCATGTGCAAAGTACAACTTCCTTAAACAGTTGTAGAAGACTTTATAAAGCAGCCTGAATGTAGTTAGAATTAACCCTACTAATGTTAGCAAAATGGTAAGATTTTAAAGGATCCAACTTTTATGACAGATTGGCTTCTTTCTTGTGTGTCACTGTATTTCCCAAACTACTTACTACATATGTATTTCTAGTAATTTTTTCTAAATTCATTTATGGCCCCTGTATGATGTAATTCAATGTTCTACTAAGCTCAGAAACAGCAATCAGTAGAGCTTATTTGCATGATGTTGTACTTGAGCTATATAAAATGGGAAGTACAAGTAAATGCAAAAGTCTAATTTGGCTTGAAAAACCTGCATGCTCATTATCTAAGGTCTGGTTTTGACTCTCAGAGTACAGCTTGCATTTGTACAGTCAACTGAAAAAAACATCAATTACTGAATCTGGCACACTTTTAATCTGTAGTTTTCCAGAACAGTCAATACTTCCAGCCCTTCTGTAAAAATGTCAGAATAAAAAAACTTGCCTGACAAGTGGACACCTTCATCTTCTTCAGTGGCATTTAGCAGTGAATTCTCCAGGATCTGTGCTGTACAAATGATGACATCATTTCTTTTGACAACTTCAGGAAATGAGATTTTCAGCTCAGAATCACCACTTAAACCAATAACTTGATACCAGCGTTTCAGGAATGGATTAAACTCCTTTCGTAAATGCTGTTCCACTAACGGCACCTGAGGAAAACAATTTCCAAAGAATTTAAATCAGAATATATGTAGAACTAAAAATACTCGCTTATTTGCCACAAATGTAAGGTGAATGTACTCTGTGAAATATCTTTTAAAAAATAAATAAATAAACAAACATCCCCTTATTCACTACGGAGTAGGATATTAAAAAAAAAAAAAAAAAAAAAAAAAAAAAGGAGAAATAAACACTAAAAATCCACAAACCAAGCCCCCCCCTGCAATTGTTCCTATGAAAACTTTCTGACCCAAGAACTTAAGTTTAGCTGTGTCTTAGAAAGAACAAACTATGCATGCTCCAGTTCTTCAGCTGCGCTTATAACATACTGTCAATTCTATTCTCATGGGAGGATATAGATATCTTTTAATCTTTAAAGGAACTTCTTAAATGCATTTATATACTTCAATACCATAATAAGAGAAGTTTGGTTCAGATTATCCACTCTGAATTTAGCTGTAAACATTACAGTAATTATCAGAAAATCTGACAAGATATTACTTAACTAGTGCAGCTCCTTAGATGGCCTTCATTACTAAATCTGAACAGATAATGTGAAAAATACATTTTTAAATGTTATTTTAATTAATCCTAACAATAATAATGCTTTTTATCAATAATGTAGTTATGAGGACACAGTAAGTGGGTAAATTCCCACTTGCACAGCATTAAATCAAAATAATTAATGTTTGCACCCATATAATGGAGATGACAGTCTAGGGCTGTATGACTTCAAACATAGATAGCTACATCTGCAGAAGTTGGGAAATGTATTTACATTCACTTTAGAAGTTTCTTACTAACAGTGCACAAGGTTTGAAAAATACTATTTTTGAAGAGACCAACATACCTTATTAACAAGTACTATAACTTTTGCTGGCTCTGATGCTTTTTTCTTCTTATCCAAGTGATCTTTGGTAATGTAAACAGCCACTCTGGTCTTGCCACTGCCTGTAGGGAGACATATTATAATATTCTCCCCATTCAGTGCTGGTTTTGCAACTTCCATCTGGTAATCTCTCAGGGTGAGATCTGGCTCAGGTGAAGCTCTGCCCTCTGCTTCATCTTCACCTAAGGGTACAAAGAAATTTAAATATCAAACAGGAGGCATTTATCAGAACAACAAACAGCTGAAAAATGTCAAAAACATTAATTTACTGTGAGATACATCTTATGAATAAAGAGAAACGTGGCATATGAGCATAAGAAATGCTGTTCTGTGGACCTGTACAACTCCAGATCAGAACTGCTTCACATCCAGCCATCTATCATGGTAGGTGGAATTAGCTACTGTACATCTTCACTCATGTACATTAATATGTTTTCTATCATGTACGAATTCAAATGATACAATTCAGTACACTGAAAACAAACAAACAAAAAAAGTGTTCAGAGCTGCAGTTTTTGTAATACAGGCAATCTTATGTGATGCTCTTATTTAGTTTGTTGCAAGTGAACTAGCTTTCTAAATATTTCCCAGAGGAAGAAAAAAAGAAAAAAAGATGGAGCCTTAGAAAGAAGATATAGGGACTACTTAAAAATTGATGAAGAGAGTCATAAAGTATGAAGATCAAATAGATGAGAAAATTCAATTGCCCATACAAGACAGAGCTAACTGTAGAACATGACCATCTATTCATGGTAGACTGCCCTGCTTCCAGACTCACTCATACAAAATTCAGTCTCAGTTGATCAATAAAAGGCCATGCACATTTACCACCCAAAGGCAAAACCTTCCATCAAAACACAAAATGTAGCAGTAGAGAGTCCAGATTCATCGTTCACAGGTAAAACAAACAACATTCAAAGGTAAAAAAAAAAAAAAAAAAAAAGGATAATTTCACATAATTTCAGGCAGCGAGAAAACTGTGTCAGGTCTCTGAGCTTATATATTTTTAGGAAGTCAGAAATCATATATATGAATATAAGAAGCATTTATTTCAATGTAGTCCTGGGCATATTTTCTTTCTACAGGTATGTTTAAATTTGCCTGAATGTGTACCATCCTCAGTGAAGAAGAGACACAAATTCTACTAGACTAAAAACGAAGATAAAACCCTGTGGCTGTATTTCCTGACGATACTAAATGAAGAATCATGGGGCTTTTATTACCACTGATACATCATACACAAAAGAAGTGTTTTTCTAGTACCTCTTATTCCATTCAATAAAATTAAACTAACAAGAAGTAATGAAGCTTGATAAAATATTGATAAAATATTGCTGATGGAAACACCTGAATACCATTCCTAAGTGTTTTTTGCTTGTTTTACCTTTTAGCGTGAGTACAGTACTACCTGGAACACAGGGAAATTTACACCAGAGATTACTGGCTGTCACTTATCTGACTTCTACTACTCTCTTTTGAGGAAGAATATTGTTTGCTTTCTGGTTGACTAAATCCAATAGTTCAATCATATTGAAACTAGCACTTATCACCCATCTGTTTAGTTAAATTTCAGTATCCTAACATCCTCAACTAACTGTCTATGCCTAAAAAATATTTAACTTATCTGCCTCCTACTTTCCTCAATCCCTCTAAAGATAAAAGTAAATACAGAAATCATTTCAGAAGATATGACTCCATTAAAGAATTTTAATCATGCACAGTACGACTTTAGGGAAGCTGTCTGCCTTCATACAACGCTCATATAAACTGCTGCTCTAGCCTGAAAGAAACATAATAATTATTCTTCTATTGTTCTGATTCCAACACTTTTCTTGAGTGTAAAATGATACTTGCACTATAACTAAAACCACATGATTATTTGCTTTAAAATGCCACATAAGATGCTACATAAATGTCTCCATTAATACAAAGCCTCATGGCAAAATTTCAAATTATAAAATGCATAAATATAAAAAATTCCATCTTTATCTCGTTAGCTATTCCTCTCATAGTTTTTAAAATGAGTTTACTAGGCTCCAATAAAAAGCATTTTTTTTTTTTTAATATATTTTTTTAAAACCCAAGCATAAGCAAAACAAACAGAAAACAGTAAGTGCAAAAGAAAAAAAATCTGCTCTGCACTCTTCACATAACTGTAGGGATTTTTTTTTTTTTCTACTGAACTACTGGATGTAGCCAACGCCAAATTCACCTAGCAGATTTTCCAGAGAAGTCTTAAAGGATGGTGACATACGTATGTGTGGACACATATCAGTAATCTTTTAAAGCTCGATCAACTGATACTGTGTGTGACCACAAAACACAGCTTTCTGTGTCCTGACATTTCATGTGACACAGTGAGGAAAAAGTCCAACATGAGCAATGACTCACCTCAGCTGACACAAAAATGCAAATTATATTCCTTAGAGCTAACAACATACAGGCTAAAACCCTATCTCTAGGATAGCAATTTAGATTTGACATACCTTGAACCTTCTGAGTACTTGTAAAATACATTATTTTTAATATTTAGAATGGTTGAAACTATTTTAAAGCATTTCCAGTAAACACTTTGCAGGCATATGATATACAACAATTACATTGACCTTATTGGACTAGTTTTTTTAGTCAGATTTTGCTTGTCAGGCATACAGATTTTTCTTGATCCTTGTACAAGACACTAACTCAGAACAAACTTTGTAAATGCTAGACTCGAAAAGAAAACTGATACTTGAATTCTGTGTAGGCAAAAACTGATTGTTCATAGTGGTGGCCAGCTGTAAGTGCATTCTACCTGAGGTGCACTGATTTGGTTGCTTTTACAAATACTTCTACTAAATTGTTTAGGTCCAAAGGTTCATTATGATTCTCACAGGTACCTAGGAAATGCTTCTCCTCAACCTATAGATGCCTCTAAAACCTGTCCTATTTATTCTCTTTCACTGCCCCATGCAGGAGCCAGGAACAATTTAGCTTCTGTTAGAACAAAAGAAGCATATATATGCAGCGGTATCTGTACAGACAACCATGCTAGATTACTTCTGGAAGTTCCTTCTAGCCTATGTATTTCCATTCTGCATCACTGACCATTTGTATGATGACAGTACGGCAAAACTTAGAGGATCCCATTAAATTAAGTCTTTGGGTGCCAAAACTTAAGTTCAGACCCATTGAACTGGTACCCATTTTCCAAAAAAATAAGAAGTTTGGCACTTTCAGTTTGTTGCGGGAGTTCATCTAAAAGTTTCCATCAATTTTTATTTTAGCCCATTCACAGAGTGCCTGTGCTCCAAGCTTATTTTGCAATCACTGAACAACAAAAAAGAAGCATACCTGAATCACTGGTCGGGCTGTTCTGTCCCAGGTTTTCATTCAAGTTACTGACACTTGCATCTCCTACAGCGCCAAGTGATTCTAAGTAAAAAACAGAAATAAATGTGGTGTGGTATATTTGCTATACAAATATAAATAGCTAATATGTGTGTAATTTGCTCTCTATCTCACTTGTCAAAATAGGCTAGAAAAATGTCTGGAAGGGATGGCTGAGGTCTAATTTCCTTTCTTACTGAAGAAAACATGGAATGAAAAATAAAAATCAAAAACACTGCAGAAGAAAGGCTCATTATTAAGTGTATTCAGCATTTATTTTTTCCTTGCATGAAAGTAAAGTACATGACCACATGTACAATCATGTACAATCATCTGTAGTCCTATGTTCCTTTTCAGAAGAAGAGTGAAGAGTAAAAAACGGTGAAGAGTAAAAAAAAAAAAAAAAAAAAAAAAAAAGAAAAAGAAAGAAAGAAAAACGTGTTGGATAGGACATGCTGGCAATGCTGCTGGCAAACTGAAGAAAAACTCTCTTATTCTATTTACGCTGCACATGTTGTATTTGTAGTAGAAGAAAATCAAATCCAGGACTGTGATCTTTTTTTAAAAAAAAATATCTTGCTTTTTTTTTTTTTTTTAAAACAAGTTTTCCTTCATATAACATAAAAAGCAAAAATCATAGGTCTCAAGTAAAGAAAAGCAGAAAGATTATTATTATGTCCTTCAAAAGCAGGGACAAAAATTCTGCTAACTTTGCAGAAAACTTCGACACCACCAGAGAAATACAGCAAGTTTTCTGTTCATATTCTAATGTTAAGCTCTCCCTCTGCTGGGCAATCGATATATTGCACAGATAATTTTTTTCAAGCCACAAAGACAATTTATACAGATTTTTGAAAACTCAGTCATTTTAACACCTGAAGAGACAAACTATTCTACTAGAAAAATCTTCCGCACACAAACTTATCCTGCACTGTTTGTCAGCTTACCTGCAGCACTCTGAAACTCAGTTCATAACGTGCATAAGAAATAAAACAGTAATAGCGAACTATTTTTGCAATAGTTGTCATTTTGGGCTGCAATCACACACATTGCTGGCTCATGCTGAATCATTCATTCACTGACACTCCCAAACACTCCTCCTCAGAGCTGCTCTCAAGCCATTTGTGCTTGAGATCACTCCAATCCAGATGCAGGACCTTGCACTTGGCCTTGTTCAATTTCATAAAGTTGGTATGGGCCCACCTCTCAAGCCTGTCCAGGTCTCTCTGGATGACATCCCTTCCCTCTAGTGCCAAACAGTGTGTCAAATTTACCACACTGCTTGGTGTTGTATGCAAACTTGCTGAGGGAGCAATCGATCCCATTGTCCAAGTCACCTACAAAGATGCTAAGTAACAATAATCCCAACACTGATCCCTTAGAAACACCACTTGTTACTGGTCTCTACTTGGACACTGAACCATTGACTGCAACTCTCCGAGTGCAACCATCCAGCCAATTCTTTATCCAGTGAGTGGTCCATTCAGCAAATCCATTTTTCTCCAATTTGACAACCAGGATGTCATGTGAGATAGTGTCAAATGCTCTGCACAAGTCCAGGTAGATGAGGTCAGTTGCTCTTCCTTTATCCACTGATGCTTTAATTCCATCATAAAGGCCACCAAATTTGTCAGGCATGACTTGTCCTTGGTGAAGCCATATTGGTTACCACCAATCACCTTGTATTTATATTCCAACTGCCTCAGTAGGGCCTTCAGGAGGCCTACTCCATGATCTTGTCAAGCACAGATGTGAGACTTGACTGGCCTTCAGTTCCTTGGATCTTCTTTTTTTCCTTTCTTGAAAATGGAGGTTATGTTTCCCCTCTTCCAATAAACAGGTACTTCACCAGACTGCCATGACCTTTCAAATACGATGGATAGTGGCTTGGCAACTTCATCTTACTGTTCTCTCAAAACCTGTGGGTTGAGTTCCATGGACTTGTGCACCTTCAGGTTCTTTAGTCTCAAACCTGATCTTCACTTACAGCAAGCAGATCTACTTTCTGCATCTTCTTACCATTGCTTTCTTAGGCGGTATGGCTAGAACCCATGCCAGTGAAGATTGTGGCAGAGCACCTCAGCTTTCTCCACATCCCTTGTGATCAGGTCTCCAGTTTCCTTCCAGAGTGGGTCCACATCCTTACTGACATTTTTATCATTGATATGCAAATATATATATTCATTTATTTATAAATACATAGGTATATAAAATAGCTATGAACCATAATCATCCATAGAATGGGCAGAAGTATTAAAGACTTTAAGCGCATAAATAAAGAAGATGGTTTCCCAGAAATCACTGCAATTGAAGGAAAGGCACTTAAAAATATATTCACGGCAGGAACATGATTTAAATAAATATTCCCAATTATTATGTAACAGTATGCATTTAATGTCATCTGAAATGAATGCACTGTCTTATAGAAGGACAGAAGAATAGAAATATTCTTTATTCTAGAATAGATATATTCTGTTCCATATAGACAGAAGAAAAATATCATTAATCATAATGCATGTTCCAAGACCTGACACGCTACTGAGGAGCATTAACAGGAATTCCAGTGCTGAACATGACACTGTTGTATCTCAACTTTCTAGGAATCCATCCAGTTAGAAAACAGAAGATAGGACTAAAATTATATTTATCTAATCCATGATCTCCCCTCTAACAAGACCTACTGAAAGATGTACATGCAACAGAGAATATGTATTAAAAAAGTATTGAGTGCACAGTTACAATCTGAAGGATGCATTACAAAATCATCTCTCAACATAAAATATCGGTGGTAAAGACAAATGTAGAATATTCATCTTCCAAAGGAAAGGTGAGAGAACATTATGCAATAGCAGTAGCATAGTGTTCCCCTTTTTCAGTTGTGACAATCCTCTTGAAATATTTTAAAAGAAAATAGTAGTCCATTCCAAAACCATGAAAACAGGTGATATTCTAACCCTTGCATTCAGCATTTTCACTAGCTTTCCTTTACAATGCTGCTTATACACTAAAACAATGTAATGCACAGAAAGGTTTTCAGTCACTTTGCATTAACAAATAAAAAAGCATACAGATAATGGAATGCAGTGAAGAACATAGACCTATGCAACATCACTTTTTTTTAGAAAGTCTCTCTTACCTGTTCTGTGCTACCTTATGCCTTAGAATAAGTTTCAAAGACTGAAAAACAGCAGTGATGTACCAAGAATAAACAGCTTAGTAAAACCGTTCATACTTTCAAATTAATGAGCAGTTTCTCTATTCTGAAGCATTAAGGGGAACACTTTGTAAGACATTACTGAAACTGCTGCTTAAAAATCAATCAAGTGGTACCACCTTATAGTAACTCCAAGGTTACTACAAATCAGATTTTCATAGAATTTACTTGTTCCAGTCAACTTCATTTTATGAAACAGGTCTTGAAAAACAGAGCTGTTAATTCTTTAGAATTAAATTCCTTATACTGGTAACAGAAATCTTAGTCTATGTGTTTTCATCTTCAGACCTTGCAAATTTAACTGCTTTTGCACTGTATTTTGTGCATGAAATTTCTTATCTGTGTTTTTGTACATGTAGTTATCTTTCTGAGGCTAAATTACTTATTTCTACATTTTCTTTATAATCTTAATACTCTCATACCTCTCCTTTACTCTCTCTGCCTAATCTACTGCTATAAAAGAGTCAGGGGAAAATTTAGATATAGTGCAAATTGTAATAAAATGAAGTGATTTGAAAAAGCTTCTTCCTGTAGAAATTTGTTCCATCTCAATACAGAGAAGACTGGTGGGAGCATAATGCAAAACACCTGACAACACCAAACTGTAAAGAAAGCGGTCTCCTAGTCATATGCAAAATGGATTAGGGTTTCCAGCTGTATTTTCACCTGCCTGGTCTAGAAATAGTCTTATGAGATTATGAGAGAGGTTGTAAACAAAAAAAATAAAGAGGCTTGATTAACACTTCTGTTTGTGTGTACAGGTGCACTGAGATTGAAGCATACTGCACTTCAAGATAGCTGAACATCAGCGTAAGTTCCTCTACAGCCATCTTCACACAATGCTGTCTCCTAACAGCCCTTCCCATCTTGAATCTACGTGACTGTTTTAGATCAGATCAGAAGTGTAAATTAAAAATGAATCTGTCAATTGTCCATGCTTCATATTAGCTGGTTTGGATTGCTAGAAAAACTCCCCTCAGATGAAACCAAATGAGATTGTATTCTAGCCACTTGCAGACATGCAGCCCACACCAGACTGAAATCAATCAAACTGCCAGAATTAACACTGTACATACATCTTTAGCACCCACTATTTCACTGAACAGATCTGTTCAACTTCACAAATTGCTAGTAAAGACATACTCTGCCTATTTCACTACAATTCATTGAATAAACCATAGTTTTCAGGCTTAGCTTGTAGTAGGCTACTTAACAGCTAATTGTTCTAGCTAGCTAACAAGAGTCATGCATGGGATCCTGGGTAACCGGATCTAAGGGTGGGTGGAAACCCTGCCCACAGCAGAGGTGTTGGAACTACACAGTCTTTAAGGTCCCTTCTAACCAAACCTTTCTAACTGTTCTGTGATTCTGTGAAAATCTATCTTCAGCAAAGCTACAATTAAAATCCTGAAAGCACCTGACTAAGATTAAGACTTGATACTCAGTCAGATCCATTCTAAATCATTAATAAACATTTGATACCTCTACTTTATAATGCCAAATAATGTTCTAATACAGGAAAAACAAGCTGATATTTCTGCTGCAGTTAATAGTCCACTACTTGTTATAAATCATAGTGATATGCTGTTACGAGCACACTAAGCAAAAAATAAACTACTACTGAAAGGTTGCAGTTTTCAGAGCCAAATTTTTCTTGATGTGTTCATGTTTGACAAAAAAAAAAAAAAAAAAAAGAAGAGAAAAAAAAAAGAGCAGCCTTAGCTGTCTTACTCCTTTGGCTGAGTAAGCCCACTAAAATAATTTCAGGTAGGATTTATCTCAGTTTTAACCATTATTTGAGCTGCATCTGAACTTGTAACAGATATGAATGGTTCCTTAATCACGCAACATATGTTTGAATCATCAGCTCCCAGTTATATCTTGAAATTGCTGCTGGTTGTTGCTACTGCTTATAATCAACTCCCTAGGCACATTTTTATAAGTGGATCCATATGAACAACAGGCCACAAAAATTTCTTGGCACACCCTCCTAAGCCAGTCTGTACCATGCCAGCAAATTCATGCTGAACTAGCTCAGTCTAGTTACAGTAGGTAAGGATTTTTTCATACCTTTCTAATTAATACCTTTTAATTAGTTCAAGTATGGCCCTGTTTTTGTTCTAGAGCAACTCCATTAAAGTGAAGTGAGCAAATTTAAAGAACTATCCTCCAAAATTAGTGTTGATGACAACTGATAGGAAGAAATGGAAATCACTGCTTCCAAGGAATCAAGATCCTATTTTTCCATTCATTCTCTTTGACAGTAGCGTATGTTCCTGACTTTTTGAGCAAGATGAGAGCTAACGAACTGGGAACATTCTTTAAGTTACTTCCAGTAAAATTTAACTACTACCAGCACAAAACACCAATTGGTAGACATACCTGAAACTACAGAGTTCTTTCCAACAGAAGTTTCTAATACACTGCTCTCTCTGACAAAACTGTCATCCAAATTTTCTTGCTGTTTCAAATCCTCCGTTACAGCACGTCCATGTTGGCTTGCATCTTCTGTTTCTTTGCTTGTATTGTTCTTCAACTCATTTTCTTTATTCTCTGTTCCTAGAAAGTAAAAATGAAATTCCATGGCTCTATAAAAAAAAGTGTATCTTTTAGTGTGGAGTAGAGAAAATACACAATGGCATGACATATGGTCTTGGCAAAGATGCCAGTTTGGAATTTTTATGTTTTTATAAATGTTTATTAATAAAGTTGTTAGTCATAAATCTCTAATATTTGTGGTCACGGTGAAGACTGGAAAATTGAACTGTGGACTAGCCCTTTTCAATTCCATCAGTTCTGTAAGCTCATAAATGAATGTACCTTGGAGCAGGACTTCCGAACTTCCCCATAAAACAGAAAACAGAGAGGTTTCCCAAAATGTCTTCCCATCTTCTATTTCTGAGTCTTATTCCAAATACAGGAAACATTTTTCTTTGTCTTCTCCGTTGTTTTATTATTAAAGATATTTAAGAGTAGACATATCCCAAAGGCAAAAAATGCAGTTCAATATACTGTAAATGCTTTTTGTAAAAACTACAGTTTTTACAAAAAAGAGAGGAGAAAAAAAAAAAAAAAAAAAAAAAAAAAAAGAGAGCAGCCTTGAGCAGCCTTAGCTGTCTTACTCCTTTGGCTGAATAAGCCCATTAAAATAATTTCAGGTAAGATTTATCTCACTTTTAATTATTGTTTGAGTTGCATCTGAACTTGTAACAGATATGAATGGTTCCTTAATCAAGCAACATATCATCAGCTTGAAGTTTGAATCAGTTTGAATCATCAGCTCCCAGTTATATCTGGGAATTGCTGTTGGAGTTGTTGCTACTGCTTATAATCAACTCCCTAGGCACATTTTTATAAGTGGATCCATATGAACAATTTCTGTTCATATGAAGTTCTGTTTTCTGGACTTAAATTCAATTACTTTGTAATTAGAAATTAAAGAATTTATTAGACTGATTCTATTCCAATTTTTTTTATTATTATTTTTTTATTTTTTTATTTTTTTAAAATATAGGTGTGAATTTCTGTGAGCAGGTATTTGCTAATAGTAACCTATTATACTGTAACCAATCGTTCCTGTTCAACCAGAAATGCTACACTGTATAAACACAGTTCTCCTTTCAAAATAGCAAATGAGCCTATCTTGCATGTCTACCTTCTTTGACCTTGTAGCAGTAGAAGCTTCAACAATCATACACTTCACACATCTACAAATGTAGAGGACTGTTTACACAGAACATTACTTATTGACTGGTAAGAACAACACAATTTATGTGTTAATCTGTACAATTCCTTTTAAAACCTGCATTGTCCAAGATTACTGAGAAATTCTAGAAAATGTATTCATTCAGTATTGCATCAAGCAACTGAATTAAATTTAACTTTTACACTACAAAAATCTGCACTACACTGAAAAATCAGAAATGTAAAATTTGGAAATAATTGAAAATAAAACTATAAAGATGAATTTTGTTATCACTGCATTTGACTTTCATCCAGAAGCACCTTCTGAGTCTCTAACTTGGTTGACTTTGTTCTGCTTACTAGACTTTTTGAACACCTTCGAACTGCATGACTGAACACAGCAGCTGCCTATCTGTGCTTCACAGAGGCTGATTCCTGTCCTCAGCTAGAAGAAACATCTTAAAACATAGTTCCACACGAAGCAATAACAACCACAGAAGTTGGTGAGCTTCTGAAGCAAGAAAGCTAAAGCTGTTAAATATGAAATCTGTTAAAAATGTTAGTCTCAAAGATCTTAAAAAGCTGAGTTTAAAAAGGGAAATTCAGGGACTGCTTATTTTTTTCCCCATATTTTAGCATCTAGGGGATAATAATTCTTCAACATTATAACTATTGCATGAGGATATAAAGAAGTAACCAAAAACTTTGTAAAACATGCTACAAAGGAAAAACTAATTCAAATCTTGAAGAAGTCAAGAAAAGAGTTATTTGTTCAAAATAATCATCTGAATATTTATGATCATTATAAAAATACACATTCAGAACCAATAGGCTACAAAAGGTAAGAGTTCAGTTTAATTTTGATCATATTGTTATAATCATACTATTCTTAATAAGGATTTTTTAGTGTTCAAGAACCTCTTGAGTTAGCCATTAAAAATTTTAATTTGTAATCCCGCAATGAGAGCCTTGTCTTGTTTCCTAACTAATAATTCAAAAAAAAAAAAAAAAATTTTTTTTTTTTTTAAAAAGTATTCATGGAATAAGAAGGTTACCTCCTGTATTTCCACTTAAATCATCTGCAAGACTTTCATGTTGGGTTTCTCGTAGAGCAACCAAAAACTGAGAGAACCAGTCCTTCTTCTGCACTATTCTGCTCAACAGCTCCCTTGCACCATCTCTGTTCCCACGACTGTCAGTAACAGTCTCAATCTGGTGAAAATAAACAAACAAACAAACCCTAAGACAGGATTTTGTAATAGTTCAATAAGTTAGTACGAATAGTATACATGCATGGGTTGATCTGAAAGTAATGCCTTCTATTTATTTCCACAAAAACTACAACAGATAGAGAGAGCACAATAACACTACTTGATACAGCAAATTCTCACTGTTTCAGCATAATCATTTCCATTAGCTCTGCATTTTCACCAGCGCTGAACAAGAACCTGAATGCTGCAAGGGATGAAGGGCGATGTCAGTGGGTGCCATTTTTTCTGCATGGAGGAATTTAATGGAACACCTTTGCTTCATCCACACTTCTACATCAGATGTCATTTTGTCAGTCTGCTCCTCCACATCCATCACACAGCATCAACACGTAATGGAATACTGGTGGGAAGGTTCACCCTCTACTGCCATACCACCAACATACACCTCTGACACTGAGGGCCGCAATAATAAAATAGGAGGCATTACTTTTGGAGCAGACTTTGTAAAACATGTGACGTGAAATTTAATTTGAGAGACTGGTAATGCTTAAAATTGTTATAGTAATAACTGTTATATAATAATAATTTTTATTTTGCTATAATAATTGTTGTTCGCACTGGTTTCAAGATTAACCATCTTGGATTAAGGAGAAGTGATGCAACACAGTCTACCAGAACTCAGACCTCATCTCTAACATGACTTCATAAACAAGGTGGAAAGTGTCCCTTCTCAAATACTGAGAAGACAGAACATAATAATACAATATAATAAAATAACAGAGTAGCCTGTTAAAAGTGACTGTTACTCTACAACAAACCACAGAAAAGCACTCCAAGCTTCTGACACACAGAATCAGGCACATTATCACAAGGGGAAAAAAAAAGCACTGCTCCAAAAGCAGAGCTGCCTGGGACAGGTGTTGAGATTTCCAGAAGAATGTCCTTAGGGTTCAACAGTCATCATTCCTCATATGCAAGAAAATGGGCAGGTGGAACAGCTGACCTAAATTTGGCTGAACAGTGTGAAAACCTCTTGAGTTAGACTGAAGGGTGTGAGAACTAGGAGCAGGGAAAAGTAAACAGAAAGCAGCAGCACTGCTGGGGGATAATCATTAAGAAATCCTCTGCCCCATCAATGTTGAAACTGGCTGGGTTGGGAAGGGTAATAAAGGAGACTTAAGTAGAAACAAAAGCAGCATAATCAGGGAAAATACGCCTTTGTTAAGGAATGGATCCTCAGCCTCCTAAAAGACTGTCTCTGGCACAGTCTGGCCCTTGCTGCTTCCTGATCATCATCAACCAGATGAAATTAAACACGTGACCCTCATTTAACTGAGATGGCGCACTAAACTACTCTACAAATTTACACAAAGCTCAAAAACCATATCGTTCAACCATTAGTTTACCAAGTTTTGCCTTACTGCTATAGCAAATACTACATATTTTCATTTCAGACACCGTTTGGGGGGGACTTCACTGTTTTTGGTTTCAAGGAGGTTTCACAGTAATTCAGGAAAGGCATTCCCAGACAAACAGCCAACACTGGCATATGCTTTCAAAGTTAACCCTTGCTCTTTCTTGCCAAACTGGTATTTTTGCCCAGCTTCACAGTCTGCTAATGGGAATGATATTCCTTAGTGAATCTAAAGCAGAAAATAAAGGTGAGGCAGGTCTTGTTTTAATTCAGGTATTCTCTAGGACTTTGCAGAACAAAGGTCTGTGTCAAAATGACAACAGTAAAGCTGACCAGATTCCTTTCACTTACACACTGGTCTTTTCTTACCTACGGCATTGTCATATCCTGGGTGTTAGCTGGCATCCTTACTGCTCCTGGCCTACTGCAAACAGCCTTCACTGGCTTACTTGCAGCTTCTTCACCAAGCTAACTTATGCACATTCCTTTCTGCTCTTGCAAGCCCACCTGTTGCTACTCTCCACTCAACAGCCCCTAGGAGCAGCTGAGCTCTGTTGGGCTGCCAGTACGTCTCACCTACCCCAACCAGGTCCTCCTCCTGAAAGATACCCAGCTCCAGACACTTCGCAGCCACCTGTCTGGTCTGCATGTTATCCACCAGCGTGCCGTGCAGCAGCTGCACCAGGTGCACGCAGAGGTCGTGGTCGTCCTCCTCCCGGGGCGAGGGCAGCTGGCTGGGGTTCACGTAGCAAGCGGCCAGGTCGCAGCCTCCTTTCTTCAGCGCCAGTAGGAACTCAGTGTACCAGCCGCGGTCGCGGGGGCCGCGTTCCACTGCGCGCAGCAGCTCCTCGGCCCCCTCCACCTCGCCGCGCTGCAACGCCGCCGTCCGCACCTTTTCCTTCTCCTCTGCGCTCAGCGAGGGCAGCCAGTCCAGCACCGGCTGCACTCGGATGCAGCGCTTCAGCCGCGGCCTGAAGCAGGAAATCATGTAAAGAAAGCGCTCGTCTCGGCACTCTTCCGACATCGCTGAGCTGTAGACTGGCTCTGCTTCTGCCGGGAGCGGGGGCTGCAGGGGCGGCCGAAGGAGCCGGAGTCGCCAGCTCCACGGCGGCTGTTCTCAGGCTGCCCCGTTCCCGGGCACCTAACATGAGCCCCGCTGTGGCTTTCGGTTTCGCTTGTTGTTCGCTGCGCAACGGAAGCCGCGCCCAGCCCAGGGCACGGGGAAGTGCTGTTTCAAATTATTGGAAAGTTGCAACGGGGACTGAGTTTGAAAACAAAACTGACGTGTACCACTCATTTTCCAGAGCGCGCGTCCAGGGCTGCTCGCAGCGCATCCATGATCTCTATACGAGCGGTTCCCATGGGCGCACCGGAGGGAGGGGGAGGAGAGGAGGTAGAGGCTCTGCGAGGAGGGGAAGGTCCGCGTCGGGCTGCAGAACACGCCCTTCTCAGGATACAGCCCCTGTTGTACCTCCGTATGCCTTTATATCACACTTCACTTTACAAAACCCATGTACCAATCCTGTCCTGTCCCTCAGACTTTTGAGTGCAACCTAAAATGCTGGGGCCAGAACCTGATGGGTTTCCACGAAGAGCACAGCACAGAATGTATCGGGCTGCCTACACAGGCAGCTGTACCAGCAGTAACATAGTGCCCATGAACCAGTATCCGACTTGAACTTAAGCTGCGATTCAAGCTCTTAGTGGCTTTAACCAGGCAAAACTGTAGGCTTTGGATATCTTTGTGCAGACGACATCTTTCTTCATAATTTATTTTTCTTCTCCATAACAAATGGATAGTATTCCAGACTTTGGTAATTTTTGCTATATAGATTTGATTCAAATAAAAATAATAAAAAATAAAAATAATAATAATAAAAAGATAACTCTGAACATCACTCCCAGCTCCTTACTCCCAGCAGTGGGAGATGGAGGTCACTGGTTTCATCCTGCAGAGATCGCAAAGTACAGTTTGGAGGTGGCTGCTGTCCTCATGTAAAACAAAATTAATTCACATCAATCTTGCTGCTCTTTCATCCAGCAATACTGCAGAATGCAGATGTTGCAGAAATTCAGTTTTCTCTCCTGTTTGTATTACTGTACAGTTATCTTTCCTCAGTTTTCATTTCCCACTTCAGTTGTTTCACTTTCATTTCACTACTGCTGATCTCGGGTTTCGCTCATTGCTGTTCCGTATTACTGCGCTATGGAGTTTCACTTGAACAACTTCCCGCTACTTTTTGCTGCCTTCCTTACCTAACTTATCCACAGGGACGTGTTTCTGGCAAGGCCTTGGGACCTGCAGCTGTCACTCAGGTGTGGTTTGTGTAAAAAGATGTTGTGCATATAGCAGTGGTACCTGAGGCACAGCCTGCTGATACCAGAGCAGTCCTTGGGTCAGTGACTTTGCAGACATGACAAGGAAGCCTGTACCTTACTTTGGTCAATGCTATCTGATGAAGCAGATACTGCTAGGCTGACCAGTGGCTGATCTCCTGCCCTGCCCTACTCTCCTGTTGCATCCCAGCAGGATACTTGCCCTTCTTGCCCTGCAGTCATTTCCAAGACTCGGATCTGGCTAAAGTTAGTCACGGCCTCTGACAGCAGCACGAGCATCTCCCTGCCCCACGTGGAACACCGCAGCAAGCTCAAAATGCGCGCTTGCAGCCGGGAGACGGCTCAGAGGCAGAGATGGAAGCACATCGCGCGCGTGACTACAGCCAAGATGCCGCGCAGCCCCTCTCTGTGGAGCCTGGGCAACTCCGTGCACGCGCCCAACGGCAGTTCTGGTCGATGGCGGCTGCGCGGGCGCCGCCGCGTTGCTATGGTTGCCGCTGTTGCGGCGGCTGCGTGTGCTCTGCGGGGAGAGCAGAGGGGGGCCGTGCGTACAAAGGGGCCCGCGGCTGAGCTTCGCTCCGAGATCCTTAGGCAGCATTGTGAAGCTGATGTCGCGGGCTGCATCCCGCACAGATCACGAAGTACAGTTTGGAGGTGGCTGTTGCCTTTGTGTAAAACAAATTGCACCGTTTTTGTAGGTCGTTGTGCCCGGCAGGAGCCTGCAGTGGTCGTGAACAGCGAACTTGTGTGAAAAGAACATTCTAGGAAGGACAAGATGTACGGGGCTGCTCCGAAAGTAATGTCTCCTATTTTATTATTGCAGCCCTCAGCATCAGAGGTGTATGCTGGTGAAAATGCAGAGCTAATGGAAATGACTATGCTGAAACATAATGTTTTGTGGTGGAGAATTTGCTACATCAAATAGTGTTATTGTGCTCTTTGTTGTAGTTTTTGTGGAAATAAATAGAAGGCATTACTTTCAGAGTAGCCTATGCACTATATGTCTGAAGTTGTACTGGCCTTTATAAAGTAGTAGAGTCCTTACAGTGATGATTATACCACAAACACAGCTGTGTCAGATTTGGATGATGTTTGTATTACATGTCCTTGAGCAGAAGGAAAGATTATTGTGTGGCTGCAGCACAAGAGATGAGCAGAAATATTCTTTGTTTAGCAACTCGGTCTAAATGTGGTCACTACGGGGCTCGTTGCCTACTTTTCAGAATGCTGGTGTTTTGTATCTTCCAGATTGCTTAAACTCACCAGACCTTTGTGCTTGCCTCCTTTGTTCGTTAAGATTACATCTTTAAACAGCTGTCTGTGTATTTAGATATCTAAACAATTTTTATGATACTTTGAAGTTACCTTGCTAGAATTACAATTAGTTATTTGTCATTGTGAGGCAAGCTCAGATAATAATATTTGTTGTACACAGCTGGAATTGTTGGAGTCTTTAATCTTTAATCCCATCTAAGGCTTTTCCATAGGGAAATCTGGATTTTCTTAATTTTTTCTTTTTTAAGAGTTCAGCTTAACATCAAAAGCTTTCAATGACTATCTGGATCACTAAAATCACAGTCTGAATAGACTTAACATGGTAAACCCACTCCGTGGTTTATTGAAAATTCTCTGAAAGAAAATTACAGAATAAACAGAATTGTCTGGCTTAAGGAGAGGCATTTCACCAGGATCAATCATTTCAATCAAAATCATTTGTAAAAATGTGGCCTCACTTGGATAGCAATTGGCAGCTTCCTTATCCACATCTTATAAATGGAAGTTACATTTTGAATTTCTAAGTTAGAAGGGCTATACATGAACATACCTTCCAGTTTTCCTAGAAGATGGTGCCTAGTATGCCGTGTGGAAATTATTGTGCATAGGAATTTCTGAAACAATCTAATCTCGTGCCTCTGTTTTGTGTGCTTCAGGCCAGTGAGCAGTATCCTGTGCAATCTCTTGCTTTTCTTTTTATTCCCATAGTGTTATGTTAAATATAATTCCAGAAATTTTTGCTTGGTATTTTCAATGCTGAAACTTGTCTGGCCTTTTGGATCCCTGTTAGTAGTGCTTGTAATGGGGTGACTGAATTCAGTGCCGTTACAAATGAAATATTCACATCCTGTTGCTCATGACTGAAATAAATGTAATATGTTTATTTGAGCAGATTTACATTTGTTGCAAATAAATTTTTATGGTGGTATGAAATAATGAATATATATGCAGTTAACAGTTTTCCAGGAGATCATTTCTGGAAGCAAAATAAAACTTATATTAACTATATTTACAAAATCCTGTTATACAAACAGGATTTACCTCAGCTCATAATGGTGAAGTATTTCTATAGATTAAATTTTTGAATTTTTCTATCTTCAATTTTACAATGTTGTGAAGATTCATATAGAAAATATAAATAATGCATGAGTGGGGCAAATTTGTCCCTTAATGGAGACTTTAGTTTGGCCCATCTAATTTCCATTCCAAAGAGAAAAGCTATGTTCTGTATTCATTAATAATCAAAGAACTTCCCAAGTGAGCATTAAAAAAAATACAAGTAGCTAGATGAAGAAAAATGTTTTTTTCATTAATAATGCAGTTCTGTCTACTACTTATACATAGATATACAAAGAGAAAACGTAAGCTTGCCATCAGGATGCCTTCATGCAGTTACAAGATTGAGGACACGCTCCTTTACTATCACTGATAAAACTGAGCATAGTGATGATCTGCATCTATGATCTATGCTTGGATCTTGTTTATTTTTCTTCCATTAAACTATTTGCTGGTTAACTTCTATTACAGTCATTTTTTTCCAGCCTAGAAAATAAATTGATGTCTAGAGTAAGTGTAGTATATGTGTGTATTGATTGCTGCATGACATGAGTAAGTTATCATTCCTAGTTAAGTTTACGGGAATGCTAGGTTCAGAGTAGTGACATGACTTTCTGCATGCTTTTTTTTAATTCCAAGTATGTAAGATGGTACTTAAAAGTTATTTATACCAGTATCTGCACACCAAGTTGTTTTCAGATTTGAAGCAATTTTACAATTTACAATTAATATTTTAATTAAACATTTGATATGAATTTAGAAAGTGAGACCAGATTCCTTGTTATTTGAAGATGGCTGCTAGATACTACAGTTCAAACAAGAGCATCCACCTATATTTTAGTTGTTTTTCATTAGTGATAATGACGTAAGAGATAAATAAACAAATAGGGAACATGGTGTTTATGTTTTCTTTTGTTGTGTGAAAAAAAAAAAAAAAAAAGAGAGGAGGAAAAAGAGGAAAAGCGATTCAAGAGACTTTATTGAACACAACTGCAACCATTTGGAGCAGCTGCATGTTTGAATAAAGCGTAACAAAATAACTTTTACTTAAAAAAAAAAAAAAAAAAAAAAAAAAAGCAAACCAGTAGTCAGCATACTTAGCACTTGGCATACAGGTCTTCCTTATCAAACACATTTTAATGATGTGATGGTGAGGCAGTGGCATTGGCATAGGCTGCCAGAGGAACCAGTGTGCATGCCCCATTCCTGCAGGCATTCAAGGCCAGCTTGGGTGGGAATGAATAGCCTGCATGGTAATTCTCATAGCTGGAGTGTGACTGTCCTGATTTCTTTGATATTTCAGTTATAGTAGCTATTCTTGAGTTTCCTGGATACTTTTCTGTATGTACATGTTATAATTTATGGGTATTTTTACTCACAAGTTTTAAATGTAAACAGTCAAGATGAGACTTCCTGGGCTCAAGCAAGACCAAATTCACATCTCCCAAAGTTCTGAAAGCATCTATGGATATGTTACAGCTGTGTATTGATATATGAGTATGCAACTCCTGTATGATTTCCAGCTTTAGTTG